GACGTTTAACCTTTTGGCCACCCAGCATGAAAACAAAATGTGCTACTTTTATCTACATGGGAGCATATTAAATAAGCCTCAAGTCAAATATAAACGAAGGAAGTAAGGAACAGCATTGCTTTGAAAACCTTTTTATTTTAATAGTTTGCACAGATTCTCATTGATGGAAGACAGATTACTTTGCAAGCAAAAATTCAAAGAAACTCACTTGAAATAAATTAAACTACTGTAACAGAACATATATTTGACTGCAAGCAAAAGGTACTTTTAGTAGTAAATGTTGGCTTCTTTAGCTAAAATAGTCTTACCTTTATCTCAGTTGGAAAAAGCAATAAAACACTGATTCAACTTGGAACTCTGCAAAGTTGTGGGACTTTATGTGATACTCTTGGAGCTGGGAGTATTGTTCTGGGTTTTGCAGATTACTTCTGCAGAGCTTTATAACCTTGTAGGCATCAGTTTTTTCTGCCAGTTTATCTGGCATTTGAGCTTGTTTCTATGGGAAAACCAGATTTAATCCATTTTAGAAAGTGGTTTGAAATGTCAGCTCTGTGAAAATTTGGTATGTGTATATACATTTCTGTGTTAGGGAGATAGCAAGAAAATAGGCAGAGATAATTTTTTCTCTTCAGCTGACTTAATCTGAGTTTAGAAGAGTCACGCAGTCTCTGTTCTTAGTTTTGCAGAAGGCAGATGGAAGCCAAGACCGTGCATAGCATCACCCCAGAAAGGTGCTGTATTGGCTCTGCACTCCTTCTGCAAGATATGGCACTGGAGGACAGGAGGTAGGAAGTGAAATACAGAGCAACAAGGTACCAGAATTTGAGGGAGGAAGGGCAGAAGGATGATAACCAGGAGTTTTCTGATTACAACTCTTACTGCTGAAGAGTTTTTTGAGAACAGGGAAAAGATGCTATATTGTTCTTGAGAGCTAATGAGCTTCAGTCTTGCCTCTTTTTATTTACTTCATGAGTTGGGAAATTAGAAGGACAGAAATTCTGGCTACTAGCTAGGTTCTTGGTTTCAGCTGTGGTGCTTTTGTTTTCCTAATAGTTCCCATAACAAAAGTGGGTTGGTGTAGATGTGCAGGTAAAGCAAAGCTAATCTGCTACACCTAAAATGAAGACAATACTGCTGTTGGGAGATTCGTGACATGCTGCTTGAAGGAAATGGCCATGTCCAGTTTTTAAAAGGCAGAGAACCATAACATAACATGATACAAGATTATAGTAATTAGTAAGCAGGATTGCCAAGAAGGTTAGTAAACAGAGCATAGAAGAAAAAATCTCCCCTCTTTTGTTTGTCAAAGAGATGTACTTTCATGAAAGTTTTTGAAGATTGGTGATAATTACAGGGAGATTTAGTCTGGATAAGCTCTTGAAACTTCAAATAGAAATTAAAATCTTACTGAATCTTGTTCATTCTTTCACTGACAGTACCTTCCCTGAGGTATTGAACATCTACTTTCTGTGTCTTGTTCATGTGGCTGTTGGATTTGATACTAATGCTAATAGTATCAAATAATAATAATACTAAATACAATAAGATTGTCTAACCTGGGCATAAATATGGAATAGATCAATTCAGAGCAATTGCTGTCACTAGGATTCTCACACTTGTCTCCCTGGATTATGATCTGCTAATGTTGGGGAAAACAAGAACATTTCATACTTAAATGAATTCCTGAAGAGGTACAAATTGAGGCCATACTTTAGAATGGGTTGGCCTTTAATTTAGCATATTGATTAGTTCCTTATAATTGCAGCTTTTATGCAAGAGAAGGTTGCTGTATGATACATAAATTCTTAAGCAGTAATAGAAAAATGAAAGCTATAAACAAGAAACTTGGACAAAAAATAGTAGTATTCCGAGGGATGGTTTTATTTGTCAGTTCGCTAAGTTATGTTTCTTGCAGTCTTCTGCAGCCAAACCGTGTTTTTTATTTGGACATTTAATGTATGGCTGAGTGTACACTTAACTGTACACATTAAGCCCTGTGTACATTTGTTTGAATTCATGTTGGAGCAGTAGCAGAAACAACTTGGTTTGGTTCTTTCAGATACAAGTACAGTTCAAAATAAAGTGGTTCTTTTATTCCTTGGAATAAAATTGTCATTGAGCTTGCAGTTTTCCTAGAGCTTGCTGCTGGAACAGGTGATAGCTTCTTTGCATAAGTTTCAAATTTCCATGGCCTAGGTTTTGAAACAACTGTTGTGGAGTAGATCTAGGGATTTGTCTGGCTAAAAATTACATCACCAAAACAAAAGTTCTCAGTCAGATCAATTCCCTTATCCAGTTTGACACGTGGAAAAATGAATATAAAGTGCCAGAGCAAGAGCATGCGGGGTGTTGAGCTCTTTTTGGTGGTAGGCTGCATTGTTATCAGTTTACAATGACTTTGAACCAGTGTGTGGAATGCGGGCATTGCTGTATACTCAGAGTGAAACTGTAGATTGGCTAAAATGAGGCAGAAATTAAGGTTTTGCAGACCTGGGTGCTGACATGAGTTAAGTTTAAGCATGTCTTGAAAATTCCTTGTTTGCAGAATGTTATTTTATAGTAGCATAGAGTACTTTAGATAATGTTGAACTATGTGTCTGAGAATTTAGCAAATGCTTTTCAAAGTGTCTCAAGCAAAATACTAAGCAGTAGTGTCTGAGAAAGTGTGAATTTCTTGAGAGAGCAAAGAATCTCAACATGTTTTCCAAATACTAACAGTGGTCAAAACTAAGATGATATTTTTTGAGTGGTACATTAACTACAGATTCTCCTGATTATGTATGATTGATTATGACTGATTACAATTGATTATACCTACTGCATGTGTAATACAGCCTTGAAGCAGTTTCTTTCCTGAAAATTGACTTTGCAGAGATACAGCTTTATTACTCATGCTTACAACCTGCATGCGTTAAAAAGCATGTTTCTAGTACTGATAAAATAACATGTATAAAAAATAAGATAGATTATTAAACTTCAGATACAGGGATAATCGGTTAATGTCACTACAAGCTGTATCAAAACAATTGAGTTGTGTAAATCCCACATGAAGGCATAGCTTGAATGCCACTGGACTGCTGAAGGATCAGTAAGACCATAACATTCAAGCAGTGAGATAGGACAGAAATATTTTGGCTTGCACGTGAGTATGTCGGAAGGGAATTCAGCTTTTTTCTGTTAGTCTAAAGTAAGTTTGTTGGTCTAGTTGTTAGATTTATTTTTTTTTCCCTCCCCATATTTAATTTGGTGATCATTTGAAAATTCTAAACACCACAAAGACCAGGTTTAAAGCTGCTTCTTGGGCAGAAATGCAGTATATTTATATGTAAAGTAGTGTTCTGAAAATTAGATGGTTGGATAAGCATTTCTATTTCTTTCTATGACAGACTTTTCCATTGAAATGAAACATCTTCACACATGCACACACCTACTGAAAGGAATAATTTCAAAAAGACTAGAAATAATCCAGAAGCAGAAGTACAGTCAGTAGTCTCTTTTTCCTTCTAGAAGGCTGATTAAAATCTAAACTATTGAAATACTGAGACTCCCATATATAAATTCAAGAAATTGTGAGTCTTCTGTTACAATGTGATTATATATACATGATTTTTTTTGTTTTCTTTTCCAAATAGAAACTGACTTCCTTCAAAAGTAGACATACTTTTGATCTATTTTACACACATAATTTAATTTCCTAGTTACAACTGAGGCCATAAAAATTTGTTTTGCTGCCATAATCTTACTAATGTGAAATCTGAAACCTGTTCTTAGAAGGGTTTTGGAAAACCAGTTTCCATTCGTAGCTGAGGGCTCATGTCTTAGTGTACAGAATTGCAGACATCTCCAAACTTATCTTTGTGTTTATATGCCTCTCCGAAAAACAAAATGTATTTACCTGTTTTACTAGTTGTTAAAAGAAAATATGAACATTAGTTAAACCAAGTGCTACTGATTGCATTTTCTTAGTTTGATGCCTGAAGAATTTCAAGGGATTCTGTATGAAATGACGGGAACAGTGAGAACAGTGGCAGCTTGGGGTATTTCATAACTAAGATGAAATTCCTATTTTAGCATACTGGGAGGAGTTAGCTATGTCATTGTTTTACCTTTTATGAAACAGTTTGTGAAAGATTTATACTTTTAATTTCTGAGAAAAACTTCAAGATACTTACATTTTCTTCAGGATGCTGATTCCATGGAGTAGTTTGCCTTGTTATGGGCTAAGAAAGGTTTTGCATAGTGGTAACATATTTTCTGTTAGAAGGTTGGACAGTGTAACAGAAAGATGTAATAATTTAGAACATTTACAGTTTTGTACTGCTAAGCTTCCATGTAAATCAGCTGGATGGTAAACATACCAGAGACTCCTGACATCTATAAACTCTCATGAGGTGTGAAATTACTGCCATATGGTACTTCTGCAACTCTGGAGGAGTAATTGTGCTTTTCTCCTGTCCCCCAAGTATGGTAGCTTTAATTGCACTGGACACTTGATACAGTTGTATTCATAGAAGATTTACATTGGGGTATATTATGAGTTGTCTTGCTTACTGTTGTCTACAGCTGTGCTCTACACTAAGAAGCAATATAAAAAAATGTTATTCCATTCTCTTCTGGAAATGTCAGAGAACTAAATAGTTTTAGCAGAGTTATTTAAAGTTTGGCTGCCTAAGTTACATGGATTTCCTCGAGTCAAAGTTGCTATGATTCAAGAGCCTAAGTTCTCTCTTTTTCTTCTTCCTTTTAATTTTTTTCTGAGCTTGGGTAGTGTCAGCAATTTGAATGCATAAAGATTGATTGCTAAAATTGTAGAAGACTGAAAATGATAGCAGTGAAATCCTGATTGGTGTTTCAGCTCTCACCATACAAAAGTATTTGGATGCATGAACCTTATGAATTAATCACCCTTATATTTACAGTTTCTTTATGGTGAATGGCAGTAGAAATTGTAAAACAAAGCATTTCTTGCACATTAAAATTGTTTCCTTCTTTCTTTCAAGGTTACAGAAAACAGATCGGACCTTGAAGATTTGGAGCTTTATGCAACTCCTCGGGAGCAACGGTTTCGCAGGTTTGCCAGTTTAGAATTTGAAGGACAGCTATATATGACTCCATATGACTTCATTCAGGCTGTCACAAGTGATGAGCCCAAACGTAAGCAGGAATTTTATATTGATTAAATTGCTAGGCAAAATGCCAGTGGTGTCTTGTTATTTTTCCATTTGCTTTTGATTACTACTTCTGTTTCTGATTGTGGTAGAAAAGTACTGCATCTTCCAGAATTTTGTTTTTAATGGTATCCCCAAGTGCATGCAGTCAGTAACCTGATTGTTATTAGATTGTGAACATCTGTATACTTGTCATTATTTAAATGTTCTTGTCTTAGAGGTCACAGGTAGCTCAACAGGCATGAAAGACAAGAAGTTCATTTGTACCATTTGCACTGACACAGTTACTTTTTTTTTTTTTTCCTGAGCTGGTCAGTATGTAAAACTCTTCCTCCTCCTTTTTGTAGTTTCTGTGTAAATAGGCAAGATATGAGTTCCCTAAATAATTTAGGATAATTTTATTTTGCAGTTTTCGCCATCTTAAATTGTTATCTGCTATCATGTTGGGATTTTTTTGCCCTACAGAGATTTTACAACCATATCACATCTTTCTAAATAACATGCTTTGACTAAAAGTTTTGGTCCCCCAGGGGATCCACTTTCTGTGCTTAGAAGTTGCCAGAGTTAAGCACTATGTGTTAATTAAATTAATGAAAAGTAAACTATCAACTTTAATTCACTTATTGTAAAATGTTTGCTTTAAGTATCAAAGAGTGACTAAATAGTAAGGTGATGTATTTCTGATCTAGTTTGATTTCCTGGCCCTCAGGCTTGCAGTGCATTGGTAGCAGCACACAACTTCTGGGGAAAGTGAATATCTTTGCTCAGGTGTGACATGTATAATAACTCACCTTAAGTCTTTTTTCCTAAAGTCTGTACCACAAAGCTAGTATAGAGAACAGTCAAAAGCAGCTAAAACAGTCAGTGGAGATCTTAAAGCTCTGCACAGATGTTAGATTTTTTTCTCTTTGTTCTCTTAACAGTAACGAAACAAGAGGAAAGAATTCAGCCGTGGCCCATCAGTTGTCAAAACTTCTGTAACTTTTGAATAAAGATATAATCTCATCGTAACAATAAAGACAGAAGCTTAGATGGTGAAAACTTGGAAAACTTTGAAACTCTTTACCAGGAAGCAGATCTTCATTCTCTTTTTTTAGCTCTGCAGTTAAAAGAGAGGAAGCAGATTCCTTATCACAGAAGTTAATACAAATACACATCAGCATTTTACATCTACTTCCTCTGCCCAGATGTCCAAGTCCTCCTTTTTTTGTTAATACGGAATTGAGTTCCACCACGTGGTCATGAAGCATTTGTGACATATACTGGATATCAGTTAAACATTTCAGTTTAACTCAATTTCATGACAGTTTGATTGGCTTGAACACACTGTATGTATGATTTGCTATTAAGATTTTCCCATGCTAAAGAAATGTATATTTCCTGCTCTCTGACAGCAGGTATTCAGATTTAAAAACAAAACCAAACCAAAAAACGTTAAGCTCACAAGGACAATCTGTTCACCTCATGCCAAAAGTGAAGAAATCTGGAGTTAAATAGTTAGGCAGCCTTCTGAGTGTAGCAAATCTTTTATGTACCAAAATCCTTCCTGTGCATACAGTTAGTCTTTGAGACTGAAAGCAAAACTAACCTGGATGTCTTTTAGTTTTATAGGCTAGTATCAGAGATTACATGACTGAGATAGTTATTTTGAGGGATAGTGTAAGAGGCTGTAACTAAGTAGAAGTGGATGACTTCATTATAGTGGAAGTCATATTGTGTGGGACATTTGGAAGAAGGCTGACAAGTAGGAAATAACAGATGAAGTAGATGACCTGCAGATTACCAGTTTCAGTTTTTGATCTCCAACTATGTTAATTTTAACCTTTGTTCTGCAGCTTTGCCAAAGTACTGCCTTGTCTGTTTCGGGCAAGTCTTAATTTTCTGCCTTGCTCTGTTGAAAGTAGTAAGTTTAAGGAAGGTATTTTTCTGAATAAAATAATTCATTCTAAACATCGTATTTTGTATTTTTGGATCATTTTGTAAATAAGCTGCAAGTTGTAAATAATGGAGTCCATTCAGGCTGACACAGTAGAGCATCTGTATTTTGCAGGAAAAAAAAAAAAAAAGAACATTCACCTGTTGTTTTTTTTTTTTTGTGGATGAACACTAGAAAGGTCTTGAGTTTTGTCAAAAAAGCAAAAATGCCCTTTGAAGAGTAATAATAGTAGCTCTTTAAGGCTTTTTAGAAAAGCTAATAATACTAGACCTGAATGAGATTTGTGATGGAGTGAATGCATCTATTGTGGTTGATTTACTTTGGAAATCTTGTAAAGCCTACAGAAGTCAAGAGGGTGTTCACTTCCTTTTTTGATTAAACACTAATACTGTAAGAGTGTATTTTCTTTTATAAAACATAACTTTTGACTACACATGGTTATGTGTAAGAGATACATAATAAATGCTGTAATTAACTTGATGATTTTTTAGTGCAGGCTTTTATTTGGGAAAATCCAGTAGTTTTAGCAGTCATGCTTGATACATTTTTATCATCTGTGTATAAGTTTACATATTTAGAAAGCCAGTTAAGAGAAGAGGAAATATATTTTGTTCCCTTCAGCTCTAACTATAGTCATTTAGAGTAATTCTGAGCTGTAAGATAAATTTTCACTTGCTTGTCCAGAAAGAAAATCTATGTATCATGTATGAGACTGGGAAATTACCTGATTGGAAAGTTAGATATATTTATTCTGCAAATTTTTTTTTGGTAGGCATAAACATATATCCATTTGTACGGCAAATGAGGTTGTTGGGGAGGTGGAGGGAAGTATTTAATATTTTGAAACAAGACTTTAATTGATGTTAAAAAATTGAACTGAAAACTACATGAAAATCTGCTAGCTCGTGTTATGTTGCTTGATGTAATTTCACCGTAGTTAGAGCGGGATTTGTGAACAGTCTTGGTACTAACCTTTACGGAGATGTAAAGTTAAAATTTCAGTAAATTTCTAACCATGAACTAATGATAGACTATAGGGAGTAGCTTCTGTATTGTGGTAGTTAACTTCATGGGGTTCATCGTAAAGAAGGGATTTTTAATGCCAGAGTGGTTTGCTCTATAAAATGATCCTTTACCAACCAAAAAGTTATGGATTTGACCACACACTATGCTACTGTTTGTACCTTTGTGAATTCTGATATTCATAGTGCTTTATCTTAATATTGAACCTGTGCACATTTGTCTTGAGTATGACGATGAACCTCTTGGATACTTGTAGACAACTGTTGTCAAATGCAAGTATCTTTGCTACTGGAGTCTGTCATATAAGGCATTAGGAAAAAACCATACACCCAGTCTTACTCATCAGTTTTCAGTGTTAACAAGCAGTTCCAGTTCTGAACTGGGGGCCCTCTTCAGCTCCTCTGTTAAGACTCCTAACAAAACATGGAGCCTGACAGAGGCTGGAAGAGGAAGCATGAATCTGAGTTATTAGAAATGGCCAAAGGGAGTCTTGGCACCTGCTGTAGTTTCCAAGATATTTTTTCTATATTTGCTTTAAAAGTTACGAGTAATCCCTGAGGCAAAAGGCAGAATTCGGGTCTCCCTATGGTCTGCTGTGTAATATTGCTGCTACTGCTGCTACTAAATAATTTCATAATATTGATAACACTGTTAACGTGAATGCCTTGTATTTCCTGTTTAATCTTTTAGTGGTGTATTTTGGAGGTAGAAAGTATTTTTTTCTCACTGAGCCAGAGTTGGATTAAAACTATACATGTGAATTGGTTCTTTAAAGTTAGGAGTTTATGTATTTATTACATCAATTATTTCTTAAATACAAAAGAGAATATTTTGGAACGAGGTCAAGTATTATTCTCATGCAGTAGGGAAAATAGCTCTTTGGCTGGAAAACACAGTATAGATAAAGTCCAATTTTTATGGCACCACGTTGGCATAACTAAATTCTGTGCATTCATAACTTTGTCTTCTGTTGCAGGTACTAAAAAGTGGCGATCCCTTTCAAAGCAGGTGGGAAATAATTCCTGTGCTGTCTTAAAACCATAGATTTCGATACATTTACCCTCTTTCATGCAGTAAACTTAGAGTCACAGGAGAAATAAGGGACTCTTTTAATATTTTTTTTTTTTAAGAGAGAGACTTTAATTACTGAATTTTTGTCGCTTCAGACTCAGCTGAGTGCGGAATCTCAGATACAGCTGTGCCTGTTGTGGTGGATTTACTGACTTTCTCAAGCCTCTGTCAGTTCCTTCCTCAGCCCACATCTGACTTGAGTTTCTTTAGTGTCACAAGTGTAACAGGTGTATGAAAAACTTCTGTTTAAGTGCCTCTTCCTTTTTTTTTTTTTTTCACATTTGTGCAACTGCAAAGAGACTGTCATTATCCCTGTATTTTAAGTAAAGTACATTCATATTCATGGATGAAGTTTGCTTTAGTTCAGGTTGAGTGTTTTAAAAGAACAGTTTCTTGGAACTTGTATGAAAACCTTAGTGAAATCCAGGGGGACTTATCCTTGGCTTCAGTGAATATGAGCAGTGGTGAGTAATTTCAGCAGCAAATCCGTTACATGTCTCTCTCCAACTCTGCAAACAGTATTCATGCAGATGAATATTTCCTGTAAGAATCATGTGTGCAAAATTTATGTATGTGCTTGAATACTTCCAGAGTCATTGTGGTAAACTGAAGTTAAATTAACTGGCAGATTTGCATGCAGTTCCTTGTCTTTTATATTGATTCCTAGTATTTGCTCATAATTTGTTAACTGTTTCATCAAATATTTAAATACATACTTTTATCTTTTTTAAATCTTATTTTAGGAGCTGAATCATATCCTCATGGAGACACCACCGGTTTGGAAAGGATCATCCAAACTTTTTCGTAACCTTAATGAGAAAGGTAAGGAATAGTAGTTCATTTTCCTGAACCAAATTATCACTTGTATTAATTTATTGTGGCTGAAGTGATGTTATACTTATAATCTGAGTCACATCTTCAACAAGATAAAAAACATTTGTTGCTTTCCACATTTTACAGCATAGAAAAGTGTTCTTTAGTCTCTACAATGTTTTAATCATTCCATCTTTCAGCTAGACTCTTCAAGTGAATTGGTATCATAGAGTTTGTTAAACTGATGTTTGAATGTTTCAGATTCAGTTCATTCTAACAAAGAATGATCTATAGACCATAGGTAAAATATTCTAATAAAGGCACTATCTCTTTACTTTTTTTAATAGATTTGGTGATGTGATTATTTTTAAAGACAGTAATGATATATAACTAAATAAGCATTTTCTTCACAAAGAGACAGTTTCAGAAATGCTATATATCCCTTCAAATTCTGCAGATAAGGGCTTTGATAGCTTTTAAAACACATATTATTGGTAAACAAAGAGCCAAGAGCCACTTCTGGTCTCTTTTCTATTTTTTTTTTATTTTTTTTTATGATGGCTTGCATGCAGACATTTGAAAGCTATTTGTGATACATAAACCACATATTCCTTTGCTTATATTCAGAACGGCAAAGGTCTGGTGGAACATTTAAAAATATTTTAAAAAGCAGCCGCAAGTAATTGCTATGAAATAAGATGGTTTAGGACTGTTTAAGATAAGCATGCCAGCAACAAAATTCCAAATTCGTGTGTGTAATTGATGGATCTATTTTAAGTGTAGCTCAAATTTACTGACGGAGTAAGTATGCATGTCAGAGGAGTATCTCAAGTTTGAATCTAGTGCATGGAGGTGCTTGCTTTTTTCCTCTGAGTCTGCAGCCAGAGCTCCAGAGATGCAGAATCTGGCACATCATTGCACTGTATTTTCTTGTTATTTCCTTGCTCTAGGCTGCTTTCTATATAGTCAGAACAGCTGACTTCTGAAATATTAGTTACATAAAAATTCAGCTTCAGAATCTGTTACATCGATACGTTATCAGTGAAAACAACCCTGTATGTGCGTAGTAAGTATGTAATAAAATGTCTGCAGTGTGCAGCCTTAATTCAACAATATCTACTTCAGTTTTCTGCCAGTGAAATTCTACAGAAGTTGGTGGAATCAGAGTGGCTTCGTAATCTGGTAAAATTAGTAATAACCTTTAGCAGTTCCATAGCTTTTCAACATCGTTTATAAAAAAGTGAGTTCTGTTTTCACTGTGTATAGCTAATAGAAGAAAAGGTGATGGGTCTTATGACTGACAAGTTCATTCAGTAAGCTAGTGAAAGGAATGGGAATAGAATTTAGGTCTCCTTAGCCCTTAATTAGTGAGGGTTTTTTATGTATTAGTTTACTAATTTTCTTTAAAATGTTCACATTTTAATATGAAGAAAGTAGCAAAAGCCTATGTCCATTTATTTTGCTGTAGTTTGATTTAAATCGGATGAACCACATAGATTTATGCAGTTGTTGTTAAGTTTTATTTTTATGTTTTACTCTAGAGTGACCTCCCTCTCTTCTTTTTTAGTGTAAGCTTTTTTTTCATTCAGTGTCATTTCAGAATCTTTCTCCCTTAACATTCACAGCAATCAGCCAGAACTATCTGCAGCCACAATATTACCAGTACAAAAAAATGAAGAGAATGCTTTCAAGGCCTTTTATATTGCTTTCTCAGTAGTACCTGTGAAGGACTGCTTAACACACAGACTTTCTTCCTCTGTTTTACAGCAAAGAAGGTATCATCAAACAAACAAAAATACATATTTACATGTATTGACTGGCTATTAAAGAACTCTTTACATCACTAGATGAGAACCTTTGAGATATCTGATTTCTTAATAGCTGCTTTTCCAAACAGTTTCAAGCAGGGCTTTGAAAACTAATTTCTGCAAGCTGCTGTATAAAATCAAAAAGAGAAAGCATAGAACATGTCTACTTTATTGCCTGCATTTAATCTTTGCTAACCTTCAGTGTGGAGCTGTGTGTAAATTGAGGAAAAGAGTAGGTGGTATTAATAATCAGTAGCCTTCCTAACTAGATCTACTCACAGTACTATAATCTTGATTTTGAATACTTAAATTTGCTCTTCAATCAAAAGGTGGGAAAAATTTTATTTTTTTATGAATAGAGTGGTAGTTGGCTGGACAGTGTTTCAGCTAGTAAAGGTTGAGTGTTTAAGATCTCTCTGGTTAGATATTTTTTCTTTTGTGTTTGAGGATAGGCAGCCTGATTCTCTTGAAGGTCCTCCTCTTTCAGGACAGTTGCTCTTGGGGAGGAGTATTGAAGTATTATTGAAGGTTTGGAGAGGCATTTGGAAATTTGGACAGATCCAAGAGAAATATAGCTGAGATTTTCATATCTCAGCTATTCAAGAGGACTGAGAGTCCCTCCTGAATATTATTACAGTACAGATTTAATTTAGAACTTTTGGTGCTGTAAATATTAGTTGAAGATGCCAAAGTATCTTTAGCAGTGTTGGAAATGCTGATGTTAAATGTGTTCAATAAATGTAAAATCTACATTAATGATACAGTGTTTTGAGTCTAATTGTACAGGGGTTTCAGTGAAAAAAAGATGACTTTACATGCTTTGTTACGTATTCATTTAAGTCAGATTTTAAAAAATATTTAAACATCCAAAGATGTGGCTGTTTTTAGGAAAATGTTTGCACCTGACTTGGACTGAAATCAAGGAGACAGCCAGCAACTTTTGAAAATCCCAGTTGATAGACATCTTTACTCTCAGGCATCTAATTACTTTTTTTTTTTTACTCTTTTGAAATAGTCTACTATTGTGGACTGACTTAACACTTTTAGTTTTGGAGGACAGACAAAGTCAATTGGTTAGAAATCAAGAACCAGTTTTGCTAGTTCAGCCTCAAAGATCATTAGAGCTAAAGGCTTTTGGGAAAGCTGCAAGTCACTGTTTCCAGTTCTTACTGAACTGTAAGATGCTTCTCTTTATTGGTACTATGGGCATTCTGCAAGGTTATCACTATACCCCACAGCTAGAAAAGCAGAAATACAGGTTGTGGTACCAGGCATGCTATTTGGATATTGATTTCATCTTTAATTTAAACTTAATCACTGCTGGAGAGAAAAGGAAGTGCCATTCCACACTGTGATTGCCTTTTGGCATCTCATGAAAGGGTAAAAGCTTAGATTATATTCCTTAAACTTCTGAACATAGAAGAAGGGATAGTACAAGTGTCCCTGACAGGCTTTAAAAATATTTAATAAAATGTATGCATTCATTTAGTATGAGTTTTTAATATAAACTACACGTAATTATTGTGAAAATGTTCATAGAATGACAACTCAAAATCTGTGCTTTCATAAGTAACATGAAGCTAAGTTGTCAATACAGGGCATGCACTTAGGAAACGTATTAAAGTCAAGACTTGTATTCAGATAGTACATATTGGGGGGAGCACTATTAATGTTCTCATACTGTTATAGTGTTGTCATGAGTTACTGGTGGGGTTTTAGGAAAGAAAATCAAATAAATAATTTATATTAACTTCTGAGTATCCAGCCAGCTTCTGTTTAATAAGCCATTCTCCACTGACTGTACTTGTTTGGCTGGTTAGAAATGTAACGCTCCAGTGCAGCCTTAGTTGTAGCGATCATGAGATGGTCGAGTTTGAGATGCTCAGGACAGTGAGAAGAGCGTGCAGCAAGCTCAATGCCCTGATGGATGGACCACCCAGTGGATAAAGAACTGGCTGGATGGCCACACACAAAGAGTTGTGGTCAATGGCTCAATGTCCAGCTGGAGACCAGTAACGAGTGGTGTCCCTCAGGGATCGGTGTTGGGACCGCTCTTGTTCAACATCTTCGTCGCTGACAGGGACAATGGGATTGAGTGCGCCCTCAGCAAGTTTGCCAATGACACCAAGCTGTGTGGTTTGGTTGATGGAGGGAAGGAATGCCATCCAGAGGGACCTTGACACGCTTGGGAGGTGGGCTGATGCCAACCTCATGAAGTTTAATCATGATAAGTGCAAGGTCCTACACCTGGGTTGGAGCAATCCCAGGCTCAGCTACAGGTTGGGCAGAGAAGAGATTCAGGGCAGCCCTGCCGAGAAGGACTTGGGGGTGTTGGTTGATGAGAGACAGCATGAGCTGGCTTCAGTGTGCACTTGCAGCCCAGAAAGCCAACTGGATCCTGGGCTGCATCAAAAGGAGTGTGAGCAGCAGGTCGAAGGAGGTGATCCTGCCCCTCTGCTCTGCTCTCATGAGACCTAACCCGGAGTATTGTGTGCAGTTCTGGTGTCCTCAACATAAAAAGGACATGGAACTGTTGGAACAAGTCCAGAGGAAGGCCATGAGGATGATCAGGGGGCTGGAGCACCTCCTGTGTGAAGATAGGCTGAGAAAGTTGGGGCTGTTCAGCCTGGAGAAGAGAAGGCTGCGTGGAGACCTCATAGCAGCCTTCCAGTATCTGAAGGGGGCCTATAAGGATGCTGGGGAGGGACTGTAGTGATAGGACAAGGGGTAATGGGTTAAAACTTAAAGAGGGAAAGTTTAGGTTGGGTATAAGGAGGAAGTTCTTTACTGTGAGGGTGGTGAGGCACTGGAATGGGTTGCAGAGGAAACTGTGAATGCTCCATCCCTGGCAGTGTTCAAGGCCAGGTTGGACAGAGCCTTGGGTGACATGGTTTAGTGTGAGGTGTCCCTGCCCATGGCAGGGGGGGTTGGAACTGGATGATCTTAAGGTCCTTTCCAACCTGATCTATTCTATGATTCTATAGTCAGTGTATTCCTCCCCTAAAATAGTCAAACCCAAAGAAAACCCCCCACCCCATAGATCAACATTTTAGACAAATAACTCATTGACCAGCTTGAATACAGTCAAGTGTACAGAAGTATGAATATGCATATGCAACAGAAATTGTTCTTCTTATACGTAGATTTAATATTTTCAAGTTGGATGTGAAGACAGGGCAAAACTAATATGGCATAACTTTTTTTTTTTTTTTTTTGTCTTCAGGTGTGATATCTTACACAGAATATTTATTCCTCTTATGTATTTTAACAAGTAAGTATTTTTGGAAGTGGAAAAAACAACCAAACAAAAAACTGCAAACAAAACCAAAAGCTGCCATATAAATTTACAAGTTCTGCATGCCTTGCATGTTATAATACTCTTTCCCCTCTCCCACATGTCATGCATCTCTGTCCATTTGAACCTCTCCTGTCCTACTGGAATCTTGTGTCCCATTTTATTTAAGTGCTTTATTATCTAGAACGCCTTTTACTGAGGTGAATGCCTTTACTGAAGAGAAAGTTGAGCCATACACTTCAGGCAAGGTCCAGTTAAGAGCTTAAATTTATTTTCTTCTTTGAAATTCCTATAGAAATTCTAGCTGAAGTTCGTAAAGGATACTGGGAGAAGAGAAACATGCACATTTTTACAAGGTTCTTTCACCTATTAGTCCATAATGGGTGACATCAGTGAGACTGATAAAATACAAAATCTGCCAAACTGAAGTAAATGTTTATTTATGTTAGAAAACACTAACGAAATTGAATACGTATTCTTCTACCACTCATAAAACCAAAGTAGAGTAACTTAGAGTAAACTAAGCCTGATACAGACTATGTTTTGGTTTTTAAAGAGGTGTTTTTTGGAAGGAGCAAAATGTTTCACTTCTGTTCTGTTTGTATGTAATTAAAAACACTTTTATAGAATTTATAGGGTTTTTTTTCTCTCTAGACATAATCTGGATTCTTACTATGAATCAGAGCAGGAACTTGATCTTGAACCCTTACAATCTAACTGTTGGATCGATGGATATTCTTCCATAGTTTCCTTGTTATCTTTACTAACTTCTGGGCATTATTCATCCGTATTGCAAATCATTGAGTATCACCAAAATGTTGCCTGAAGCTTCACTTACAGTTAACCTTCAAAATCCTCATATTTCAGAAATAATTCAACATTCAAGCCTAATTTTAAATTTCAGGGACTCTAGGCATGTAGACAAGAAAATTCTGGGTCTTTTTCAACACATCACTTGTTTGACCAGAAGTTGCATCTTGTACCTTTTTTGCAAAAATTTTAAGGTGTCTTTTAGAATGCTGTTTCTAAACATAAATACCTGTTTTTCACAGGGTATTTATGTTTTACGTGTTTTGTAACATAAAATGGACTCTAGTTTTGAACTAACACTCTTAATTCCCCAACTGGCCAGTACTGTGTGATATTTTTTTAAATATTTCATATTCTATTTCTACTGTCTGTTTCCCTTAATCAAGGAATTTGTGAGCGTGCCTTCTGTTCTCATAGCATGGATAATACTGTCTTACTGATGTTATTATTTTACTATGTACACAAATGTATTAATTCAGATTAGTTGAGGATATGGCTGTTATAAACAGACACCAAATAATTTCTTGGAGTTTTATATTTGATTTCTTTCAAAGCAAATAATGTAATAGGGTTTTTTTTTTGGCAGAGCCACATGCAGGTTTTAGGATTGCTTTCAACATGTTTGATACTGATGGCAATGAGATGGTGGACAAAAAGGAATTCTTAGTGGTACGTATATTTTCAGTCTTTGAATATTTTTATCTACTTTTGAAGTTCATTTTTTTTGTCTGTCTTCAGTAATCATGAGAACATGATCTGTTCACTGAATTTAGTTGTGTGTGTCTTACTTAATGTAAATGGCAAATGTAAACAGTAGCTCCTTGTTACAGTGCACAGGTGAGTTGCATATAATTTCTGAAGCTTAATTCCAGTTTTGTTCTGGATCTTTTTAATTGCTACTGCATTCACAGGTAATTAGCCTATTAAAGTAATATTGTTGTATCAGTGCTCAGAAGAATAATTTAGTTACCATAATGGTGGAGGGACTTGCAAAAGAACCACTTCACTTTGTCATTCATTTTGCATATAAACCCAGGTGACCTGAAAATATTAACTGACATAATGTGGTGCTATCATCTGTTTTGGACAAGATTTTTAATGAAATAAACCATACTGTATATACATATATATATATATATTCAGCCCATGAAATCCGTATGCTGAAGCAATTTGTTCATTGGTTTCTTTTTAAGGAGAAAATTCCTGATAGCGAAATTGATTTGGGGCTGAATAATTTTCATGTGCGTAGGAACAGTTGGCAGGACATCTAGAATTTGGCAGTAGTTTCATTACACCCATGGTTTTGTTAATTACAAATCTGAATTACAGTATTTTTCAAACTAGAGCTTTACTCAGTTTATAGCTTGGAAAAAGCAGTTCTGTAAATTTTTCTTGCTAGTTATTTAATCAGAAGGTTTATTTTTCTTCCCGTTAGAAATCTAAACAGTCATAAAAGGCACATAATTTGAAAGAAAAATTGGCTTATTTCCCATCGAGATTTGCGCATTAAGAATAATTCGTCACTTGACAGAAAATCTTCAAAAAATCGTAAATGACCCACTATAATTCGATTTTTATCATGATAAATCTGATAATTGCATCTTAAAATTCTAATACTTCATCATTTTCATGGTGATAGGATCCACTAAGTAGAGAAAAATCATGTTTGCACTGACAAGTACAAAATTAAAAAGCCTTGAAACAAGAAGGCTATTTCAGGTTTATGTTAATGTCGTTTATTTTCTGATTAAAAAAAGAAAAAGGGAGAATAGTTAATGCTATTCTAAACTAATGTCACTGATGAAGTAAAAAAATGGTAATTTTTTTAAAAATCATGAAATGCCAAAGATTACCCACTCAGCCCCGGGGCTTCTATTTTACATCGCCTACATGGTTTTACATTAACAAACTCCACAATGCAATATAAATCAGAGTTTTCTAACTTGGTAATATCCATATACAGCAGATGTCTGGGATTACTCAGTTATGGCAAAAACATAGTTTTTGACATTTTCAAAATTATCATTTAAGATTTTGTGGTTAGTAGTTTAGACAAGCTCTCTGAAGACTGCACAAGGCCTTTATTTTCTACTGAACAAGTACAGGTGATTGATAGAATAAAAATATTTGTAAGAATTTAATCAGATGTTTGTAAAAAATGTATTTACAGAAGACAGCAGTTCTTCATATATTTTTTGTGTGTGTGTAGTTGAGTTTTTAAATAAATACAGTGAAACATGAGAAAAAGCCCACTACCTTTCTGAAGAACAAGAAAATGAAGCAAAACATAAAGATGAAACAGACACATGGAATGGATTACAGTTTCAGACCATGGTTTATCTAAAATGAAGACATCCTAATTTCTTGTGTGCTGTTTCTTAATTGTTTTCAAGTCAGCTTAGAAGGTTTGATTCATATAAGCTATGCTTACCTAAAGAAAAGGGAAACAAACTGAACTTCCCTCAGTTCTTCTTTTCATGAAAGTGATTTCTGAGATCTTGCAAATTGTGGCATGCTGATCATTTTTTGTATTCCAGTATTAAATGTGCACATCTTTCTAATTGTTAGTTCCTAGCAACCATCTCTTCCAGCTGAGCGAAAAAGCCCGCAAACATGGGATTAATTGGCTAATGGAAAACTAGAGGAAGAAGGAAAAAAAAAAAGTTTTTCATGATTCAGTAAAACAGAATGTGATGGAATAGACTGACAACTTTTTTCCTTTTTTTTTTTTTTTTTTTTTTCTTTTAGAAACAGCTTCCATTACAATAGCTAAATGGGAGGAAATAGAAGCGGGAGTCTTTGTCCTTCAGAAGCTGATGCTGAAAATTAAATAAGTGTATAAGGCAGGAAGCAAGAACACCATTTAACAGTGGATATTTCATCTTTCTTTCTGACTATGCTTCTATAGTCCTCTTCACATCTTGATTTTTATTTGTTCTCTGCCATGGTTCCTGATAAAAACTTCTTTTTATTATTCTTTTTCTTTACCAGTCTTGGTGGATAAAAGAAAGCAGAATTTTCAAACATTAGATACAGTGTTCTCCACCTGTTATTGTATTTAATAGATTTGTATAAATTAAACCTGATCCTAAATGCTTGATTACCGTGTCAGTGACCCTTCACAAATTACATCAAAACCTGTAAGTCGGAATGTTAGATCTAAAGTGAGAAAGACTAAAATAAGTAGGTAGATAGATAACATCTGTGTAAATAAAAGTAAATATGAAAATAAAAGTTGATTCAGTGATGCTGCAGCTGTGATGGACCTGGCCCCAGAACATGCATTTGGCATCTCTACTTTGCCTGCGTGTGCATCATCTCCTGTGTGCCTTGTAGCAGGACACTAAGTGTTGCCATTTGAATTATATTGAACATTTGAGGTATACTTCTCCACTGATTACAGTCATAGAATTGGAAGTATAACTAATATTATTCAGTTTTGCAAATGAAGAGACTTGGAAGATACTGGTGTAGGGATCACATGCAATTCTTGAAGAGTATGTGTAGTGAAGAGTTGAAAAACACTTAATTTTTCTTATAACAGCTTTAGTGGTCTTGTAAACTAATTCCATTATGTTTGTTCTTTCTCCTTTGCGTATGTCATAGGGTGGAGGTCAGTGAACAGAAGGATTGTGTTACCTTGTTACAGGAGATCTTGGCTTTGCTGCTTTCAGCAGTCAATTTCATTATCCTCTTTCAAACAATGTTCCTATGAAAGTACTCCTAGATCCTTTTTGCATTCACTTTTCTACTCACTGGTATCCTATAGCACTTCTTCTGAACAAAAGATCCATTTCCAGAAGTTCAGCAAGTGCTTTAATGATGAATGCAACAGAATCCTACTCCCTTTGCCTCTGGGGCAGGAGAAATACATCCAAGGATGCACTGCTCTTTACTGATCTTTTTTGGTTTTTCAATTGCTGCCACTCTTCTCTCCTTGATGGCTTGTCACTTCACTTTTCACAAGGTATTTTCTTTCTACTCTGTCTTCATTTGCTTTCCTTTTTTCCACACAGTTTAGGGTTGCAAGCAGTGTAATACTCAGGGCCATCCACCTAAATGTCCTATTGTCACTCTTGTCAGCATAGGTTATGGTAATTTGTGACTGCAGGTTTGCAAAAAAAATGAGAAAAAACATAACAAGGTCTGTAAATTGATCCCCTACTCAAAAACATATACACACAATATTCTGCTCATTCTGGGAAGAGACAGTTCCAGAACAGAGTAGTCAATTTTGGAAATTCATAAAACATTATTTATAAATTCATTTGCTATTTAATCACTAAACACTGTTCATTTATTTCAGTGGTGTTACACCCCTGCAGTAGACCTTGCTGAACCCTTTAGAGTAATCTGCCTTCCCTGAAATGCAGTGTTCTGAAATTCAGTTTGATAAATTTGCTTGTAGAATTTATCACACACACTCTGTCTTTCACATTCTGATCCCTGGGGAGCTCTGTGTCCTTGTCACTACAGTATCAGGTTTTTATCAGACTTCTGGTAGGTAAAATCAGGTCTTTGGAACAACTGCCACAATTGTGTCTGTATGCCATGATGTTTGGTTCTGAAAATACCATATTCTAGATAGAAGGATTTTTTTTAGCCATATCATTTATTCTTTTTCCATTCCACTTTCAGATTACCAAATGCTGCAAGTGGCAGTACGATATTTTCATGTGCAGGTTTTGAAAGCTGAAGTTTGTTGGTAGAAATGTAGATGGCATCTTATATACTTAATACTGGTCTCTCTTGCAGTGAAAAGTAAGCATTGTGACACTTTTTTTCTAATTGTTTGGGAATATTCACAAGTATTACTATAAATAAAAATAGCTAAATAGATACTTAAAGGAGCAGACCAGTGCTTGGAAGACTTTATAATTTCAAAAAATAAGTATGCTCAAGAATCTCTATGTTTTAGATCTGGTATTTGAGGTTTTCTCAGAAGTCATGTTTAAAGCTCTTAAAGTAGAGAAAGTTGTGAAAAGGGTATTTTACAAGACCTGAAGGTATTCTTTGAACAGACTTGAAAAAAAAGGGTACTTGATGAATTATTCTTGAGTAGTAGTTTGTTGCTGCTGAAAGGGAATGTTTCACCTCCACCAGGTGTTTCCAGTCCTCTCTTGTGCCAGCAGGAGTAAGAACTGATCTGGCTGGAAACTAACAATATGAAAAAAAGATCAATCCATCTGACTACATAGCCACACAGACACTAATTCGTAGCTGACAAGAAAGGATGTGCCTAGAGGTGGTGAAAAAGACTGGAACTTCCTCTTTTAGTATAGGCTTGATTAGCTAAAATGTAAAGGTAAATAGGATATTCTTAGTATTGTGCTCCCAAATAGAATTATTATACCCTGTGGAGAGAACATTTTCCTTTCTGTGGAATGGTTAAGGTCAAAGGAGGAACATGAAGGCATTAATATGAACAATAAAGCACCACTGAAACACTTGATATTTTAATTACAGTTTGTAATGTTCCTCACAATCAGTTATTGTTATTCACGCGAAATAACCTAAAAACTGAGTAAGAACAAAATGTTTGGTTTTTTTTAGCTACAAGAAATTTTCAGGAAAAAGAATGAGAAGAGAGAAAGAAAAGGAGATGAAGAAAAACGTGCAATGCTGGTAAGTAAGAATAGGAACAGCTGGTAGCTGGTTTTCTGGATTTTTTTTAATTGATACAGGATGAAATGGTGTATTTCATTAATCACTTTTTTTTTTCCAAACAGTAAATTTATATCATTAAAATAATAGGCATAATTTTATATATAGAAAAAAAACCCAGTATTTAGCCCAAACTGCAGTTATTTAAAAAGTCCCTGAGTGGTCTATAGAAAGGAAAAACTAGTATTTTAATAGTGTATTACATATTGTGACAGCAGCATTGATTCCATTTAGAGTCTATAAATTTAGGGAAAAGTGAATAGTAATGACCCAGTGTTATTGTCTATGAGACTGAGATCTCAGTGGCAAGACCAAATTATACTCCTGCTCATAACTAACTGAAGCTGTTCATGTAGACATACTGATCCTGATGTAAAATAGCTGATGAAGCATTACAAGTGAACTTAGATTTTATATTCAGATTTACTTTTTTTTACTAAATACTGATTATGACCAATGAAAAACGTTTTTAGTTAAATATTGCATACTCATGTAATGTCAAATTTGCGTTTTTTATGTGCACAAGAAAGGTAAGTCAGACAAGTCTGTGGTGGTTTGTCTGGAGGATGGCATCAGTAGCAGGAACTTACTTTACTGTTGGACAGGTAAAATCAGGGACAAGTCCCTGTCAAGTTCACAGCAGAATAAAACGTTCGTTTGCAATTTGCATATGTATGGCAAAAATTCTCTATCACAAGAAAGTTTTCGTCATACATGCAAAGCTTCTCATAGTGCCCATTATCTGAAACCATAGGTGCTTGATCTCAGCTCTTTGTCCTGAAACCATAGGAAGTTTGCATTTCAAGAATTAACTATTTTCAGACCTTCCCTGAGCATAAAAGGATCTTTTCTTCCCACCCAGAGAGACCTGTCCTTCTCAGTTTTTCAAAACTGTAGGTCAGCTGTTGAGTCTTTCACGCACTTTATTCTGAACAAGGGAAACTTACACCTAAAGGAAGAGCTTTAGGCAAAAGTAAGGATTGCAAAATGGAACCTTTCTCCTGAGAGTAATCTCTGCAACTCTGTACTTCTCTTTTGAAATTTTGAAGAATAAGATTAAAGATGAACCATTTTTTCGTCACTGTATTTTTAAAAACAAATCTAGTAATATATAAAGTAAAAGTTATGCTTGTCTTAACCTATTCTGTTGTCTTTTTTTTTTTTTTTTCCTCCCCTCTTCTTTTGGCTTCATTCTGACATGTGATACTTGGTTTGGCCCATGTTTGCTGTATGTCAGCGTCTTCAGCTGTATGGATATCATACTTCTACTAACAGTGTATGTACTCTAATTATTTTCAATGTATGCAGGCTTCACCAGTGAGGTGATATAGTCTGCTATAAGAAAATTAACTGTATTTGTCTTTTTCATCAAGTAAATTACTTCTGCTAATCAGTAAAAATGTGATGGATCTTTACTTGCATAAAAGATAGTGCATGCTTGTTGCATTCATTCTGAAGCAGGCAGGCATACTCGGAGGAAAGGTTGCTCTATTTATATAAATGAAGGAAACATTATTTTGAAGGGAAAGGACAAAATATGTCTTAAGAAATCATTGACTTGTTTTTAACTAATGTGTGTAATTTAAGTCGTTCTGCATGAGTCACTTAATCCAGTTCTCTCTTGTCTCCTTGTGTATAATGTGAAATAATAATTAGTCAAATGAATCCTTCACCTCTCAGTTCCTCCCCCTGCAAAGAAAGAAACTAGAAGAGAGCTTTTGTATTTTTGTGCTTCACTTGGAAAACAAATAAATAAGAACTTTCAGTGCTGAACTAGAATAGGATTTACAGAAAATGGTCCCTGTATTACACAGGTGATGGTAAACTTAAGTTTCAATCAGTTTTGAGGAGTGGGAGAGAGAATCGGCAAGAGAGAGATCTTCTGGGTTTTTTGATGTCTTCATCATGATCTGATTAATTTTTGGATCACAGCAGAAGTCAAACTGTTGTAAAACAAAAAAAGATATTATGATATTTGAAGTGAGGGCAGGGGACCTGTGAGAACTAGATAACTAGTGAAATTCCAATTCTAAAGTCTGTTTCTTTATATAAGTATTCACAGGAATGGACAGATTTATTTCCTGTGAAGTTAGCTGGGCAGTATGCAGGAAGGAAGTCTGTTGAATGAAAAGGTGCAGTGACATGATGTAGATGCTGCAGTGTTGTGAGAATAATGTAGGGAATGTAAGGCCTTACGAGTCAATGGAGTTTAGATCAGGCTTCACTGCAGCGAAAGATGCTGTAGAGGGGTTGCCATATTCCTGTGCTGCCTCCTGTTTTAAAATGAAACCAAACTAGTTAGGCTTTCCTACTCATATAATATTTTTAAGCTTTAGTCAACAGCTTCCTTCTAGACTCCAGCCATATCCAAACTCATTATCAAGATGATGCCCAGGTGAGCACTGTGCTTTTCTGTCCTCATGCAACCTGAATGGAGATCACTGTGTAAAGGAGAGTCAGATGTATAGGAAATCACAGTATCTGACAAATCCCTCAGTCCAGAAAATTTATTATTTTGGGTTTCTGTTTCTCCTACTCCTATTCTGTTTCTCCTTTCTCCTACTGAAACAAGAAGTGTAGCAGCGTTTTCAGTTTGCCTTGTTGTCCTGGGGAGTTGAGGATACTGAAGACCAAGGAGATGCAGCCCTAAAACGTTTGGGATAGTCCAGAGTGTTGAGCCCTTCTGCTCACTTAATCCTTCAAAACAATTCTAATTTTTTGAGAAGTGTCAAGGTCTAGTCTATAAGCCATAGAGTGCATACAGCAACATTTTAAATGGGTTAAATATTTCTGTATTTTTTATTTGAATAGGTTAATTCTTTCAAGTCATGTTCTGGGGCATATTGTGGCTGTGTGTTGAGGCTACTTCAGCATGTATTGCATGACTCTTTTCTCTAGCCAAATGCTAACCAGAACATGGTAATTATGATGAGATGCATGTAAGGTAAATAAAATGTGCACACCTGTAAGTACTAATTCCATTGGATAAAGTAAATCTCCAGTAAGAGAACCAATTCAGTGAACACTTAAAATAATTACAGAATTGTGTGCAGAAAAGAATGAGGTTTTGTTTATTCACATGACCCAATAAAACATCAAAGTGTAAGAGGGAAACTGCTAAGGACTTAACCCTGTACACACTGAAGTAAACAAATTATATGAGTTTAGCAGTTTAAGACTGAATGGAGTTATATATGAGAATACTGCGGCCATGATGTAGGAACTGTTACTCCATAATAAGAGAAAGATACGTAAAACCAGAATTTTTCAAAAAGGAAACAAACATATAATATACAGTAAGCATGGGTGTAATTCATGGTAGTTCATCATGTTTCTTTGATAACAGTTTACAGAAAGCTGAATTGAATTGGTTAGTGGAGGAAGTAAGTAATAGAACTTGTAGGAGCAGTACATAAAATGTTGACGTAATGTAGAATACATAGAGACAATAAACCGTCAAGTCTGTACCGTATTCTTTATGATAACAGTGTGGGTTTATACATCACACAGCAGCATAAATCGTCTAAGAGAACAGTGTGTGCCGAGGCAAAAAAAAAAAAAAAAGTTTTTATTTGTAGTTAGAAGATTAAACTCATTCTGCCTTTGTTTTGCTTGCCCAGATGGATGTGAGTGGGGAGCCCTGAAAGTAGGAGACCTAGTTTAGATTACCTTGTGAAGGGAATGGATAAAGTTCATTCAGATGCAATAACCCTAACCAAGTTCAAATAGCCTTCTACTGTCTTTAGGGTCATGTTCCCTAGGTTTGGGGGGGGGGGGAGGAACGTGTTGCATAGTCTGCCAAGACTAATTGCAAGATAAAGGAAGGTCTGTTTTAATAGGGGAGGATTTTTCAGGCTTTCAAAAATGAAACATTTCAGAGCAAAATGTAAGTGTATTTTACTTGGAGAGATTAATCACTTGTTTTCTGTTTAAACAAGGTAAGTTTGATCATCAGATGTGCATGTTTGCTGAATAAGTATGTTTCAGTTGAAGTTGACTTACGAGATTTGTTTTTTCTATTTTTTGATTGGTGCAAGTATGTCCTGATTATTGGATGAAGGCAGTTTCAGATAGCTAGCTGTATTGTAATATTTATATTTTGAACAATGAGAAATTTTGTAAGTACAAAAATTAATGTTTTTGGGGGGCAACACAGAATTCTTTAAAAAACCAAGAGCAAAATACTGAATTTAAATGGATGTTTTCTCTAATTCTGTTCAGGAAAGTGGAGTCTGGTGATACTTTTTGCACAGCCAGGTTATGAGTAATAAGCAAATAGCTGTAACAGACCAGTGTTCTTTTAATTTATAAAGTGTCGTTTAACTGGATAGAAATTTCTCTGTGTGGAAGCAAAGGAAGCAAGCCATGCTACTGAAGATCAGTTGGGAAAAGTTTTAAAGTCTGTAAATGGTTGTTTTATTGTTTGTTGGTTTTCAAACAATTGTGCTTCTTGAAACTTCTGCAGGTCCTTAAAACAGAAGGAGAGGACCTTGTTCCCAGAAGCTATTGGGATACTTTGAGACGTAGCACAAGCCAAGCACTCTTTTCGGACCTTGCGGAGGTATAAGCCAACCTCTGTCTCTGGTCCATAAACACACTGCGATTTTATTTATTTATGTTCTGATTATTTTCCTGTTTTATGCACTTTGCTTCTTCTCTTCCTTTTAATTATTTAAAAAAAACAAGAACAAACCAACACTGAAAGTTCTAAGATGAAATAAATTTGGTTCCATGCAGTGGGAATAATAGAAAGTTGTAATTTCCAAGTAAAAGCCAAGTTACCTTTTGAAAGACTTGGGAGATCAAATCCTCTTCAGTCCTTACTGTACGAAGTATTTGCTAACATTAGCAGTGACAATATTTCACAGTTAGAGAAGTAATTCAGGAAAACTTAGTCATTTAGGCTTGGTCCACTGATATGACAACTTTAATGAGAGTTGAAGCCCTCTAAGCTTTTAATTTTTTTAGGTCCTTAATGTGCTTAACTTCACAAAAAAAGTATCACACAAAGATTGCTTTAATTGTTGGATCAAACAGGGAATGTTATAAGTTATATTAGTTAATCTTTTTTAATATCATGTGCTTGTTATGGAGGACTAGAAATATCACTGAGCTGTCAAATAGATTTCCATAGTACTTTAAATTCTAGTAAGATTCTTGTTTCATGAATATGCTTTCAGACAATTGAGACATTTATTTGTATTGATCATTTAAGTGGGTCAGAAAACTAGATCATTTAGGCTTTACTATGCCCATACAGTTAGGGTGCTTACTCTGCTGGTTGTGGCATTAAAGGGCATACAGCAGCTCCCCACTGACTCTGATCTCAAGTCCCATGATTCATAAGCAGGATCATAATGAGAAAAGAACAAGGAACTGAAACGGACCTCCAGGTTTTTGGTTTTTCTCTTATGGTAGAACCTATATTTCCCAGGTATCAAATAGGCCTTCTCTGTACCTCTCTCAGCTTGAGCCCATTTGCCTTTGAACAAAACAAAATGTAGTGTTACAGAATTCAGTTTTATACTATTTGTAGCAATACTCACAGTAATAATACCCTCATAGTAATCTTGCAATAAAGCAGTATACCCAGCCTTTTTTTCCTTGCTTTTAAATTGATGAGGTCCTGTATTAGTCCAGTGATTAGTCCTTATTTCTTCCACTATATTTTAAAACCCAGCAAATCAGCATTCTTGTCTAGTCAGACATAGACGAGAGAGCGGGCCACACTTTTCATTAACTATTTAAGGAGCTTGAGGAACTGAGTTTTCTGAATTAACTGTTATCTTAATCTACAGTTAGCTGGCATGGATTCAGTCCCAAGTATAGATGGACTCAAGTTTGGTAATTTCTACACATCTTTAATTTAAAGAGAGAGAGGTATTTACATCTGGTGCCTTAGAGTAATACCTGTAACTACAGTGTAATTGAAGCTTAGCAGCAGCTATAATAAACATTGATTAAAATTGGTCTGTAAAATGTATAAAAGGTCTCGCTGCTCATAATTTTATGAAGAAAAATCATGTCCTGCATTTGCTCCATTGACAGTTTCCCACTTCTTCCCATAATCAGCTTTTATCTTGCTTGGGTTAAGGTTGAGCCAACTGGCTTTCATCCATATTCTTGTCTCTCCCAGGTACTTTTTGGTACTGAATAATATTATAGCCATCTGTACTAGGAAAGTGGCATAAAGCTAGGTGACACTGGCATCTGTGTTGTTTGACAGATTTGAGAAGGCCTTGTGTAAATTGAAAAGGAAAGTAAATAAGGTTCCTTGTTGTGGGAATCAACTTACAAGGTCTCTGCTCTTTATTCATCCCATGCATTTTCTTTCTAGGAGAGCTTGCAGTACTGTTTTGGCTATTCCCAATTTGCAGCTACACCATCCTGTTGGAATACAGAATCATAGAATAGTTAGGGTTGGAAAGGACCTTAAGATCATCTAGTTCCAACCCCCCTGCCGTGGGCAGGGACAATTATGCCAGTTATCACTGAATTCAGTTTGTGGGTTTATTCTGAGATTTCTAAATGAAACTGGGAATCAGTACAGTCATTATGACTATTGAAAAAATTCAGGTTTGAAGCAAGAAGTCTCTTATTAATTCAAAGCATAATATGCATACTTCATTTTCAGAATTTGTTGTTACAAGTGGACCATCCCTTATGCGAATAATTTAGTTTTAATTAATCCTCTTTAATTGAAAGCTTGAAATTAATTTTGCAGAATATTAAAATAGATTTACTGCTCTTCAAGTTATGAAATTGAGAGGAAAAGATCTTGCCATTATGCAGCAAGCCAATAATGTGACTGAAACACTTGTCTCTCCTGTTTATCTCTTTACCTGTATTTGTATTACAGCTATGTAAAGGTAAAGAGAAATGAGGCAGGGCTTTATCCTCATTTAAATGACTGCACAATATATTAGATCAAAATAGAGGCTCATTTGTATATATGGAAACAGGTGTGGTCATTTCATTTTCACTGATCTAAAATACAAAATTCAGTTTTTATGAACAATAAATAATAGTTTTAAATGATTAAGTCTCTTTTTTTTTTTTTATCCTTGCCCCTTCAGAGAGAGGATTTATTTAATGCTGTCAAGTTTAGAAGGAGCGCAGGAATAGTTTTCAGTTGCAGAGAGGCATACTAGGTTGAGTTTCTGTGGTGAGGTTTTTGTTTGGGTTTTTTTCTTTTAGAGAGGTTGACCAATTGGAATTGTGAAAAGACTTACAGATTGTATTTTTTTTATAGAGGTCTTTAAATATGGTTGAATGCAACCTAGTTCTAAGATTTTGAAATGTTTTTGCAAGATGAAAGTCTGTAATTTAACATGTGGTATCTTTTCAGGGTACTTCAGGGATATTGTTTGAATGTGCTTAGGGATTTAATTGCTTAAAAGACATAATAAATCAGGGCATCTGCATTTCAATGTATTGTGTCCCATAGTGGAGGATAACAGTATTAAAAGACAGATAGTGATTACTTCTCTGAATTAGTTTGCTCACTTGAAGAGTAGAGCTGTCTTAATTGAAGAACTTGAAATATCTTTCTGCCTACATATACCCTGTGTCATCATATTTCTCCCTGGAGAAGAATATGGGGATAAAGAGGAAGCTAGAGTACATGAAATACAATCTTGAGAATCCTAAACCGATTATACTAAAGTACAGAAAAGTCTCTCTCATTTATTTAGTTGTTGGCTCTTGAAAGGAAGGGATTTGTGTTGTTACTGCCTAATGTTTTTCCTTGTTGTTGAGACATGAATATTCCTAATGGGTATTGCAGTTTACATTTTTTACAAATCAGTATGTAAAATTTGAAATTAATATAGTATATTTCAGAGAATGTAGATACGAAATCGTTTTTTCTGGTACATGATGGATTACTGCCTACTGTTCAAAATTTATTTCCTAGTTTTCTTCATGTAGAGTTTCTCCATCTGTTATAAATTTTATTTATAGCCTCTTCTGTTATGAAATAAAGTCAAACTTAAAGGACTCTTTAAGTCCAGCTTGCAGGTTCATGTATGCAGATCTTCATAGATATGTATAAACAGTTTTCTATACTTATAGTAAATCCCATAGGTTCATAATCTATGACTACGGTGATAAATTAGTTGTTACATTTCCCATATGTACTAGGTTTCTGTACTGTGTATTCTGTTTTGTACTTCAACAGTAGAGTTAGTATTGAAAAAATACGGTGTTGCTGATGGGTGGTAGCTTGCCTAGGAAGAGCAGAGACTAGTGGCTCCCACTCTTTGCTTTACTTCTATCTTGCATTTGTAAGAAAAGGGAGAGCTCGGATAGAAGGTTCTCCCTAGGCAGGTGCAGCAAGGAGACTAAGTATACTAGCTTTTGAACTTCAAATGTTGGCAAACACACATTAGTGCAAGACAGACATTGCCATGGTGGCTGTGGCTTATTTAAGACCCTTTTAATTGCTGACTTACATTACTAGCTCTTCAGTGTATCAAGAGTTTCTTTTGTAAAAGAGGTAAAATCAGTGCATAGACATGACATATGGGGTAATGAGTATGCAGTAAAAAAGTGAAATGTTGCACAGTCACTATACACAGATAATAGTTATTTCTGTTTCTATGCATGTCTTCTTATTTACAACTCTTGCTATTGCAAATTGTCAAAATTAGTTGCATTACTATTCTAATTCTGTGCCTTCAAATATGGTAGTTACTTATTAAGGAAATAGTTTGTATTCAAAGATTTCTGTGTGATGCAGAGACCACATACTTGATAGATAAGGAACATTCTTATGAGAGCGAGTCAGAAGTACTTCATTATTTCAAAATTTCTTACAATTCTGTTGTTTTAAACATATTTGGGCAATAAAATTTTAACTGTCATTATCTGCTACTTATAGAAAAGAGTCATATAAAGAACACCTGATTGATGTGAATGGGTTTGAAATACAATCCCATGCTTAATAATTTTGAAATATAAAATAGGAGTATATGAGGTAATGTCCCTTAATTTCTTTGTAGTTGAATAATAGAAGGGAGATTGTGTAATCAAAGGGATTTATTTTTATGGTTTACCTCAACTGACTAGAGCATGGGGTTTTTTTCTTTTATTTTTCCTCCCCCAGGTTTTGGTTTTCTTTTTCATGCTTTTTCCCTTTCATTGTAGTTTCCATTCTATTATATTGCTGTTTTACGTGTTTCCTGCTAAATGCAATTAATAGCCTAATGCCATTTTGTGTGAAAATTGCATGACTAAATTCAGTTAATGTTTCTTAATACAAAACTCTTTTTTTCAGACTGTGAACATAAACCACAAAATCTTTTGAGAGAAATGTCTATTGTGATGATAGGCATTTTCAGATTATTCTTCTGTAACTAATCCAATCATGGCCTTTAATTTTTTTTATTCTAATATTTAAGCGTGCTGATGATATTTCAAGTTCACTGTCAGATACTACACTGCTTGTACACTTTTTCGGCAAGAAAGGAAAAGCTGAACTGAACTTTGAAGATTTTTATAGGTGAGTCTCAACTTTATCAATTCCTGTAAAATACACTTGCGTACTTGGTCTAATTAATATGTATTATATGACTATACTATATTATATTACTCAGACATGCATAAGGTTTATGTTCCCTTTGTGTGTGTATTATATATGCAAAGAACAAAATAAATCAGCCTACCAACAAAAAAAAACCTTTACTAATGCTGCCACATTTGCAAATTTGTTTAGCACTTGTGTACATAGTTGGTTTGGAGTCGAAAGATTGTACTTCAGCCCGTCTTCATTGTATACAGGAACTCTTCTTAAATTTTAATTAGTTTTATTTTCTTCCCCTGTTTTTCAGTGCTTTGAAAAAAAACTGTGTGCATCTCTACTCTTAGGGACATGTATAAATGTGAGGATTTTTCTGAATATGTTGTGTAGGCATCTTAGAACAACCTCCTTTGGGAAGAAGTGAAAACACAGTGGAAGCTATCGGCTTAATTATTACACCAGTTAAAACAGAGTTTAAAAATATAGGGAGAGTGCCATAAAAATAAAGCCATAAAACTGTTTCTGTGTAATTGATGGATACAATATTTACTTAAATATTAGTAAATACTCCCAATACCTATTGTCTTTATAGCTATCACTTAACTGTGCATTCTAATCAATCAGATGTTTGTAAAATAATTAAAATTCTGTTATCAAAAAGTATTCAGTATTTCACATAATATTAAAAACTGTGTCATTAAGGGAAATCATGATGTGAGTTCAGAATAACAACCAGAAAAGATGGTACTTTTTCAAAAGGCATCTAGTTAAAATATCCATCTGTTGCTGTAAGATGCTGTGAATGCTAAACAGGTCAAAACCTAGGAGACACATTCCAGTGTAAAAGAGGGAGCTATCAAGTTTTATTCAGTGCTACTTTACTAGCACAGAAAAATCATTAAACTATGGATTGGTGAGGGAAATACTGTTGTCTGTTTACCTTGCACTTACTTATACTTTTGCCAAGACATCCTTTTGATTTTAACTCTTCGCAATTACTGGAAGTCAAGTTATGTATTGGTAAGGAGTGTTGCAGACAATGTCTACAGGATGGGAACCTTTGTGAACCTCTAACAAGGAAGTTACAGGTTGACAACTGGATAAGCTCCCAGTGCAGTACTGTGGCTAGAGAGCTAATTCCATCCTTGGGCTGTATAACTAGAACATCAAGCAGAATAAGGGAAGTTATATTTCCTGTTTATGTGTAGCTGGTTTTATACTTAACCTAGTTTTGGTGTCCAGAATATACTAAATATGTTGTTAATCAGAAGAATTTAAAGAAATATTCTAAGAAGAGTGAAGAATTAAAAAAAAAAAAAAAAAAAAGGTTAGATTTAAAGGACATGAATAGTACAAATGTAAGGTACTACTACTTCCTCATATTTATGTTTGTGCTTACAGATTTATGGATAACCTACAGACAGAAGTTCTAGAGATAGAATTCCTTTCCTACTCTAATGGGATGAACACCATTAGTGAGGAAGACTTTGCTCATATTCTTTTGAGGTATACAAATGTGGAAAATACATCAAGTTACCTGGAAAACATGCGCTGCAGGATTCCTGAAGAAAAGGTAATTGTTTAGCTACAAGGACAGCAGAGGGCCACAGCACCCAGTCCCAGTGCCATTTACAGGAAAACATAGCCTTGTTGGACTGAATGCAATTCTGTCACTAATTGATTGACACCAGGATTTTATTGTGATCATAAACTGTCTCATGTTTTTCAGATTAAATCCTGAATAAAATGTAGAAGAGTAAATAGCAGAGAATTACGTTCCATAGGATTTAGGTAGTAATGTTTTTGACGTTTAGGTAACAAAGCTTTGTATTACATGAATATTCAGTTTAAGCAGCAGGAACCATAAGACTTGAAAAAGAACCATTTTTTAGCAATGAGGGGTTGTTTTTTTCTTCTGTTTTGCAGGGCCACTGGAATAGCACGTCTTCAGAAATAATTGACATTCTTTGTCTAGTTGTTTTATAGTCCTAATAATGGATCACTTCTGTATAATTGTTGATGGGTATGTAGTTCTTGCTAATTGCTGAAGAGAGAAAAGATAATAAAAACAGTAAAGGTCATGAGGTCCTTCATTTGTTTAACAACCAATGTGTTGTCAGAAGTGTACCTGAGAGAAAAGCAGTGGCAACTATGTATCAATGGTAATCAGTAGGATAATGTTAAAAGTAGCCCTTCAAATAGAGGATGTTTTGGATATACTCCTTTTGTTTGTGTTGGAAAGATTGATGTTTCCTAGAAATGTAATAACTCTTTGAATAGCTATATATTTTAATAGCATTGACAGCAGAGCTTGCGAAGAAAAGTAAAAATCAGTTTGGACAGTTCTGGTTTGGTTTTGGGTTGTGGTTTTTTTGTTTGTTTTTTTCTTTTTTTTCTTTGAGGAATTGCATTGTAATTTCAGTCTACAGAGAAAGTAAATTCAGTCAGCTGACCTGATAGAAACATACCTCAAAAATCAACAGCTTTCTGTTCAGGTAGCTGGATTTTCTTATTTTTCTTGTGATTGAACAGCAAATAGGTCCACTGAGAGGTGAATGTAGCTGGGGAATAGAAAGGGAAAGCAGGGCTGTCTCTTTTGCACCAGATTTAAGATGAGGTGGTAAGATTGGGACCTCTAAAAGGTCTGTGCAGCATTCAATATTCAAAGCCAAGACAGTGCACCAGAAGTGGTATAAAACTCTTTTTGCATGATTTGCAGATGTGTTTTTGTTTTTGTTTTTGTTTTTCTGTTTAGGGTGGAATGAAGATTTCCATACATATATGGGAATCTGGAAAAAATATGTTTTGGGGCTTGTATTGCAATGACATCTTAGGTAACTGAAAAATTACAGTTCTAGGTATACAGAAATACTTCTTTGAATGGCAAAGGTTGAATAAGTAAATATAAATATAGACACTGTCTTTTAAACCAGGGAAGTAGTCTTGGAAGTTCATCTCTTATGTCTTCCAATGCCACTATTCTGATGGTAAGCCTTCCACAGTAGTTTCCTCTTCTTGATCTCTTGTGGGACCATCAGTTAAGGAATACTTCCACCAGAAAGCTGTGACACACAGTTACAGGTTTGCTTATGCTGCATTCTGGGAATATCCTGGCACTTGACCAGTAACATACATCAGTATGTCATACGCTATACCTCCCATAAGTGAAAAAAGATGTTGCCATTTTTCATAGCTTCTTATCACTGGCTTGGTAAATTCACTGTCAGTACAGTGGAAAAAGTAAATTCCCGGGCATTTGAGAATGGGACTTTGCATCTTATTGCCATGGAGGCGTTGTTCATATATTTGCACTTTTTTACACTTGTAATAACATTATAATTTGAAAATCATAAAATGTGTACTCTATTTTGTTACAGGGATATAGGGATTCCATTTAGAAGAAAAATTAGTCTAGCCTGTGAAGTAGTAGGCAGCTACTCTCACAGTTGGTGATATTAATCTTCCATAGTGCTATATGTAGAAGCCTCTGAAGCAACACGATGATTATTTGGCGTAGTGCAGTCATGTTAAAATGTTCAAATGGCATGCTGCCTGCTCACAGGATGTTTTCCTCCTTTTACTAACTAGATGCCAAGCAATGAGTCATTTAAGCTGGCATCTTGGATTGCTACAAATAACAGCTCCTAAAGAAGGTCTGTGCATTTTTAACAGCATTGGCAAGCATGTGTAACTGCAAGGTTTATGTATTCAGTTGTCATCACTGCTGATAATTCTTCTGGTGCATATTGTGTTTCCATTTTTTAGGGTATCACATTTGACGAGTTTAGATCATTTTTCCAATTCTTGAACAACCTAGAAGACTTTACAATTGCGATGCAAATGTATAATTTTGCAAGTCGTTCCATAGGTCAGGGTAAGTATATTAATATAAAAATTTGTTGATAAAGATACACAACTGTTGACAAAACTACAAAAATGCTTTGGAATTCCTAGCTTGTAGTTTTAATGTCTCAGGTAAATGGCTAAAAAGGCTAGGACTCCAGCTTTGAAAGAAAAAGGCTCAGGTATATTGTAAGAGGTATGATAAAGGTTTACAAAAAAGTCATATAAGGGCTGGATAAGCTGAAGGCAGAATAGTTAGTCACCACATCCTACAGCGTAAGAGTTAGGAGACACTTGATGACACCAACAAGAGGTCAGTTTGAAGTAAACACAAGCATTTATTTACACAGTGGGCATCTGGAACCTGACCTTCTACAAGGGTTGTAGAAGGAAATGGTGTCAGAAGGTCTGAAGAGGGATTAGACAGATTTTTGAACAAATCAGTAAGTGGGTGCTGAAAGAACTAGGCAGATATCTTCTGACTAAAATCATTCATAACAATAGTTAAGATGGTTGGGGAGTGCAAGTGAGCAGTACATGAACTGGTCAGACTTGTGTGCTCTCTTCAAGTAGCATTCTCATGGGCGTGAGACAGTCACACAAGCATAATCCTACTTCATGTGGCCTTACCAAAGGACTATACTGATTTCTGTGTGCTCTGTTTCTTATGTTCTGTTTTCAGATGGCAATTAAGTAGATGCCATTGGTATATATGTAACGTAAGTTTAATTATGATACTCTAATTTTGGTATTACACATAGTATATGGGCTCTTTTGTATAAGATAATTGGTACCAATTAAACAGCGTCATTTTACATCATTGAGAACTACTTGGTTTAGAACTTTGAAATTCAATCCTAATTTTCACTTTTTTTTTTTTGACTGCATAAATGTAAAAACTCAAAAGTTTACTTGTATTTCGTAATATGTTGTCACAAAGTACAATTAAATTAATTCTGTGTTTTGTTCTTTCTTCTGGTGTTCTCTTTATGCAGATGAATTCAAACGTGCTGTGTATGTAGCCACAGGTGTGAAGCTTTCACCACATTTGGTGAACACTGTGTTCAAGATTTTTGATGTTGACAGAGACGACCAGTTGAGTTACAAAGAATTTATTGGCATTATGAAAGACAGACTCAATCGAGGGTTTAGGGTAAGGATTCTAATTCTTATAGTTATCTTAGTTGACTTTCATACTTCCGCTATATACTTTAGTACCTGTAGTACCAGTATGTTGCAAATAGTATGCATGTTTAAAGGCATATGTTTCATAGAAATCTGGATCAGTATATAAGATAAATTCCTTCTTAAATTCTTGACTTTTTTTTTAGGAAGCAATACATAGAGTACCTTTATAGTACACAAACTAAATTGGAAATGGGAAATCCTCTGCATACGTTGCTTCTTTAGTATTGTGTGATTGATAGATAGACATTAAGAATTTTGACAAGGGTATCTATAATGACTGGGTTGTTTGCAGGGAAAAGAGAATTTGTCTCTCTTGAACTTTGGCAGTTTATTTAATGGGTAGCCTCCTCTAAAACATTATTTAAAGTACCAAGTGTTGATAATGACTGTCGAAAAGAGTTGCAGCAGAAGATAGTTTTAATTTTCAAATAAACAGTTGCTGCACAATGCTATATTCTAGTTCAGAGATGCTTTTGATAATTTACCCATCTTATATATTAAATTTATGATAAGGTAGAGGGCTGGAAATTACTTGCAGAAACTTTTCATAGGGAACAGCTCTTAAATCACGCCTTCTAGGTGAATGTATAGGCCTTGCTGCCATCTTCAGGTTCTGTGTAGTACAGGGGAATTTTATAGTAGCAGAAAATTTTTTATTAGAGTATGATCAATAAAAGTCACTTTTTCTTTTCTTCACATGGCAGGTGTTAACATTTTTTTGCCAAATGTAAAATGGTGTTGTTCCTGACAACGTAATCACTTAGACATAAATCTGAAACACTATCATAGTTCCTGAATTCACATTCCAGTATGTTACTTCTGTATTATAATTTTACTCATTTTTAGTTAGCTTCTTCAATATAATGTTAGAACTTTTTGTGAAGTTGTGTTGAGTCTAATAGTCTACTTGTTATTGTAATATTATGATCAAATGTAAAATGCATTTGTAACAAACTTATTTCTTTGTTGGTCCTCAGTTCCTTTTATTATGGTGTGGGAATGATGACTGTTTCATAACTTGTTTCAAGATGTTCAGCTGTATGTTTTAATTGTTTACTAATTGTAAGTGTGCAGTGTATGTTTAATTTAACAAGAAAACAGTCTGCTTACTAAGTAATTCTTGTAAATGTATTACGTGTTTCTATTTCATAAAATGCATGACAGAAATCACATATAATCCTGAAGAATCTATATCATCCAGCACTGTTCAGTCTTTTGCATGTGTCTTTCTTTTGCATAGGCCACTATAAAGCATTCCAGTGGCCTGTAAAAGAACTGTAAAGAATAGCCAAGGATGTACAGAAGAATAGCACCTGAAATGTCTAACTTTGGTTGGATATGAGATCTCCTGGTTTGCACAGGAGATGATAATGATTTTGGTCCTATAATGCAGTTATATTCAGACATGCCTACCTGCATATTTGTTAGATTATTCAGAAAAATGCATTCCCTTCACTAATCATTAGTAGTCCAGGACAATTACAGTACCAAAATTAAGAATTAACAATTTCCAGTAAGTTTTCCTTGAGCGTCACACAAACGTGATTTTTCCAAGAGTGGGTAGTACTAAAAACTGCAAAAATTTGCCTTTTCTTAGTTTAATATACTAAAAAAAATACAGTCTTTTTAGTATACTAATTATATTAGTGTAATTAGTATGATTAATATAATTACTACAATTATACTAATTACTAGTATATTCTGTTTAATTAATTATGCTAATTACTAGTATGTTCAGTTTAATAAGCGCCCCTCTCCAACCCCAATCTCACTTTAGAATGAAAAGAAGAAAACACCTAAGAACCTTTTGCCCAGAACAAATTGGTGGAAAGCATCATTAACTACTTTCTATTCTTTGTACATTAGAAGTTACATAGCATTTAGCTTGGCCAGAACAAGTAAAATTTACCCTCTTACTCCTACATTGTGGTGGCTCAAGTGTTGTCTTGTTCCAAATTAAAACTAACAAATCATTAACCTTTTTTTGTTAATAACTGTGTTTCGAATCCATATTAAGATTGGTCAGTTCTGTTACACAGATAAAAGAACATTTTAGCCTCTGTCTATGCAGTATTTTGTAGCAAGATGGAAATTTTTACCCTGAGAAATTGGAGCTTGTTTATAAAGTGTAAAAACCCAATTTTAATGTTAAGTACCTTACAATTAATGTCTGCCCAAATCATTGTAGTCCTTTATTACCACTCTAAAAACACCTAAAAGTAACAGTTTAAAATAGGCCTATAATTTGAAGTATGATTTTACAATTACCATCTTACACTTAGTAATTCAACTTTTTAAAAAAGTTGTTTTACTAAAATGTTTGCCCAGAAGAAACTGGAGCTTGGTTACGAGGGCCATATATTTTGTAGTTATATAATCTGACTACAGCAAATGTATTTAAGAGCAAAGTTTTGCACAACTCCAATGAAACTGTAATTCTGAAAGGCCAGTCAGTCAGCTTTGTCCTTTTGAAAGTTCAGCCATAGACCTGAGATCAGGTACTACCCCTTATAGGAACATATAAATACTCGTATTTTAGCTATGATTTGGGAAATGAAAATGTCTTAAAGAGTTTATCAAATTAAATTTCTTCTTTTCTGGAATATAGTATTATAATCTGAAACCTCTTGGTTTTAGTAGTTTGAAACTAATATATTAAGCTGCCATCAAGCGGTCAGTCAGAGTATTGCCATAAACTTATTAAAGTGTGCAGACATTAAAAGCTTTATTTTTGCTTGATGTTTGGTTTAAAATAGTTATTTCATGTCTTTTTATTTAAAAATATATATGAAGATTCCCTTTCCTTTATAAATTCAAATTTTAAACTGAATGATTTGGAACATGATTAAATGATAAACATTTTACCTAGCACAAACTATACTGTATCTTCTAGCTATTCATCACTTAAAGCCATTTTTTTGTATTTTCATGATACTGTTGTCTTATGCTTACCTCTGGCTGCCTTCACGTGTTGTCTGCATCTGCGCACTTCTCCATCTTCTGCTCCACAGGGCTACAAACCTATACAGAGGTATACTACTTTCAAATCCTGCGTGAGGAAGGAACTCTATAGCAGATAAATGACGGTATGTGTTAGCCGCCCAGTCTGAGTGTGCTGGCATGCTTGCAGGAATGGCTGAATGTTAAACTGTCACTGTTTTGTTTCCCATTCCAAAACGCAGGAATAGGTTATCTGAGTGTAAACAGTGTAGTAGCTCAAAGTGTCACGTGGTTTTGACTGAAGCAATAGAATTTTGTTCTGGAGTTGGCAATAACTGACTTGCACTGTCACTGTTTTGTAAGCCAGCTGAGATTTTGTACTATGTTTGAAATAAGGAAAAGTATTCTTTCATGGTCTCTGTTGCTGTTTTCCATCTGTCCTGTGACCACTTTATAAGTAATTTCTCGGGTACCTGTAGCTAAGAAGTATTTAGCAGTGAAGACTATAGAGGCAGACTTTTCTTCTTGAGAGACTGTTAGTAACTCGTTTCTAGTTCGATTTAGACTTTTGAAAGCATTAATGTGGTTTTAGCTCAATTAATGCTATACCAGCAGTTTTCAAAAATCAGCATCACCGTGGCTGTTTCCACCTATCCACTACATGAATATTACTCTTACAATTAGGTTGTACTGTGGGTTTCATTGTAAAAACTGGGGTGTGCATATTCTGTAGCCAGAACTGTAACTGTTTGGCACATGGTGGACACAGCAGAAATGTGCTAGTAGACATTTCTCTCACATAAAGCGAGAGTTTGCTCCTTTGCAATTTAAGGTTTTGGTGCCAGCAAATTTTTCCTGTTTATATTTGCAGTAGTTGGTACAGAGGCTGTTAAGAGCTAACAAAAGAAATGTATGCCATGACAAGCAAGGCCTCATGGCCGGTGGTCTCGTGTGAATGGACCTTATGGGGTAGTCAGCGCATCTCACACTCCTGAGCCAGGAGGGTTTGACTGTCATCAAGCCTAATAAAATTAGCTCGGTGACAAAAAGAGAGACTGTGGTAAAAGCATCAGGTTACATACATCAACAGCTTGACAGAGATCTGAATTCAGGCCATAAATTAATTCATATTTTGAGACGGTGTAAACAGGGAAAAAAATGCACAGTGGAGACTCATAAAGGGAGATTTTGTTCACTCTGTATAAAGTCATTCTCAAGAAAAAAAAGATCAAAGTTGAACAATAGTATGCCTACACTATGCACTGGGAGGCAGAGAAACCAGGTGAGTTCTCAGAGCACAGACATGGCTACAGGCAGCCTCACTGACATAGTGTAGAGGTTGCTGGTTATATACTCTGCTCTTTTTCCCACCTGGAGCTCCTGGATGCTTCCTTGTGTAGGTCTGTATCAGATACCTGTTACCTGTGCCATGAAGAATACAGCGTAAGCCTTGTTGACTTATATAATATTCCTTCTTCCCTGCTGACACATTAATTGGCTACTGCTCTTCACTGGAGCCACTGCTTCTTGTCTGTTATCATGAGTTACAGTCACATACTCAGTTCTTAGCTATTAGGAGTTCCATTTTGTGCAAAACGTTACATAACTTAGAATCATAGAATAGTTAGGGTTGGAAAGGACCTTAAGATCATCTAGTTCCAACCCCCCGGCCGTTGGCAGGGTCACCTCACACTAAACTATGTCACCCAAGACTTCCTCCAACCTGGCCTTGAACACTGCCAGGGATGGAGCATTCACAACTTCCTTGGGCAACCCATTAAAGTGTTTCTTCAGATTTGTTGTAAACTTTTATTAAAGTTAGGTGCGAGTGTCAGTTAATGGTATGGAAACTTTAGCCAAAACACATGTGAAGTGATTTGATACTAGTTACTGCCAAGGAGAACAGAAGTAGTCCTGTCTTTGCCATATAGTGTGGAGTGAAAGTGGATTTACATCATTCTAGAAATAATTATTTTCCATTTAGTTTATAAATTGAAAAGATAATAAAGATTGAATTGTTGTAGATTTGAAATTGAACAATTTCAATTGGGTAATCAAATTTCCATTTGATGGACACAGAAACATAAATGTATGTGAAATACAAAAACCTGCTGCACCTGCATCCCAAAGTTAGGTCCAGTGCAATTACTATTAAATTTACTTTGTTCCACATGTAAATGTACAGCTCATTGGGCTTTGATATACTTTATATGGTAAATGTAGAACTCTGATGAGAGATTAAGATGCTTGGCATATGTACCACAGATTACACTATACTTTGAATCTGCACCCTGAAAAGTGACATACAGCACATTGTGCTGTACATTACATATCTCCATATTGAACTAACTCAATTTACTTCACCATGTAAAGCATGTTATACCCTTGTAGTAAATAATGAAAATCTCTCCTTGGGGAACAACTGTACAAAGCTCTGTGTGGTCCAAACACCTGATGGCGTTCTCAGAGAGCTTGTCTTTCTGCATTGCTCTCCATGAAGGGCACACAGGCTGACTCAGCATCAGCAGGTACTCCTTTGCATACACTGCAGGGAGAACAGAAGTAAACATGTTAGTAAAGAAATGCCTGCCAGAGCAGAGAGGAGAACTCCACTTTGAATGTTTTACAGAAGGGAAATTTCTAACAAAGCCCTTTCAGAGTTCATTTCCAAAAATGACTGCTAGTGCCCAACTTCAGGAGGGATTCAGGTCCATCTGAAAGTCATATTTGTGTGCTCAATAGCTGCAGTAATTTTCATTTTGTTGACTTCTGAAGTATTGAAAGTAACTATTACATGTCACAAATATATATCTAAAAATTAAGTTGTATGTCCCAGTAATTCCCCCAAAATTTTAAGATTTTTTGCATTAAAATAACTCTTTTCTAGATGTTCTGAATTTTGTGGGGGGTCTAAATTTTTTGATTAAAGGTTTTTAGGAAATAATAGCTAAAAATAGTATCTTGGGACTGATTGAGGAAGGAAATGTCATTTTGAGAAACACCTGAAAGACTGAAGCATGGATTCAGAACCTCATTTCCAGGTGTGTTTCAATAATAAATTGCTGTCTTCTGTAAATATTTCATTAAGTCAAGTGAGATTAAATTTGTCGTGTAGTTATTATTTTGAAAGCTTGTAATTTCCATACTTATCTAGTTCACAGAAGTTGAATGCATCTGGTAGAAGAGCTTAAAAAAAACCCCAAACCTGAAGAGGCTGTTGCTTTTCTCTTTAAATCTGATGAAGTGAGAAGTGTGTGGTAGGCATGCCTTACTGACTCATTTTACAAATGTAACTGGAAATTACAGAACCCAGACTTTTCATTCTAAACCTGCCAAGAACTTTAAAAACATACCTGTATACAGTGGGAGGAAAATGTTCCAGTGAAATGTGAAACCATTGCAGAGACTGTGGACAAAATGTGCTTTCTATGGATTTGGTACACTACATGTAGATACAACAGTGCATACATTAGAAATAAGTAAGCAAACAGTTAGTATACTCCAGTGTTTCTCTTAATGATTTTCATGAATATTTGTCTGAACCTTTTTCATAAAATAAAAAATAAATGCATGTACTAAGGCACTGCTTAATTAACTGAATGTGCTTTTGTTATATAATGCAATGCATTTTGCAAGTAATGCTTTTTTTTTCATAAGACTATAAATCTCAACTAAATTATGTATTCATGTAAGTACTGTTTCTAATATTTCATGTAAAGTCTGGATTACATACTGCTGTGGTTTAGTTTGTTTTCTGAATCTTTACTTCTCTATAATATTCTATGTGTTTTAATTGTATAAGATGAGTGATGAGAGTAAGTGGATGTAGGCTTCAGTCTCTAATGGACAGGTTTAATGTACTGCAGCGTTGCAGTATTTTTAACATCTTAGTTCAATCAGACCAAGCTATCAGACAGTCTCTCACCCTTTGTCCTGGTTTTGGCTGAGATAGAGTTCATTTCTGGTGGGGGGTTTTCCCAGTTCTCTCTCCCATCCCACTGAAGGGGCTGGGAGCGAGCTAAGTGCTGTGTAGTGTTTAGCTGCCTGCCAAATTAAGCCTCCAGATACTGGACTTAAATTGTAATCCATTTTAGACATTGAAGTTGCTTGTAAATTCATCTGACTTACCTGTAGCAATTACAATCCCTATTCCTCCCTTAGCTTCTTTCCCTAGTTGCTTTAATAGTCTCTCTCCATCTTTTGATACTTACTATCAAAATAAGCTTGTGAAGTTAGGAATAGTGGAAAAAATAAGGAGATCCAGTGACAACTATGGATAGCATAGAGTCCAGTGAATGTTCCAGGCCAGCCTTTGGCCAGTATTCGTCTCCACTCAGTGGGCACTCATTAACAGTGCTGAACCACAGTGCAGTTTAGGATTAAGGTAACCTAGTTTAATAATACATATTGTGTTTGACTTTTGTTGATGCCTCAGTTTCATGAACATCAATAATTTTCTATGCTTTTTTATTTGGTGTTATAGGTGACCTTTTTAGTACAGTGTCAATACAAAGAAGCAAGAAACAAAACTAGAGACAGCAGGACATACCTGAATAAAAAGGAAATCCTTTCTTGCAACTTTTAATATAAATAGGCTATTTGTTGAATGCTAACTGTGTGCTGTGAGGTGAGGATGCGTTTTGAATACTTAACCTGTGAATGAATTTATAACCCTCATTTTACAGAAGTACTTTTGAGCTGTAGAAGTATTTGATCTTCATGATTTTAATATTAAAACATATATTAGTGTGTATGAGCCTGAGTAAAATTTAATGTAGTATTAAGGAGTTTAATGAACAATATCTTTTTCCAATTGTATGTTTTTCACTTTTCATAGGAGACTCCAAAATATGGTTGGAAGGAATATTACTCTTGCGTGATGACTGTAACCAGTGAACACCTCAGAGATCTGTGGAAGCAGTTTCGGAGACGAGATATGCTGAGATAAAGGAAGAAAGAATGATTATCTGCACTGGCTAGAACTATTTATCTCTATGAATTCATGATGAAGAACAAACTAACCCAGGTGAATTGTGAATTACAGCTGCAGTAGAAAACACAGGACTTCTTTTCCACTTAGTCTAGTGATCATGAACTCTTACAACTGCTTTTCAGTATGTATTTTATTTAAATGATGAACTGTCACGATTGGCAGAAATCTTTTTCTTAAGAACATTTTGAATATTTTTTATTATTTTGAGATAAATTTACAATTTAAAGGAAAAGATAAATAAGTTTTACACCTGGGTAGGCAAATGTGGCAATGAAGAGAAACTACAGCAGCTTAGACTGTGAATTTTCTTTCAGAAGAGCACTATGAAAAGTTTGTGCAAAATTGGCAATGAGAATGCATTAAGTAGCATAACAGCTATGTACAAGTTGAATGTACAAATTAAACTCTTAGAAGCTATTATTTTAAAAAGAGTAAAGCTGTTATGGTTATAATGTGAATGATAGGTATTTACCTAGGGAAGGTACTGTATGGACTCTGATGTTCAGATTCTCCAAGTCTTACTATTACATTCAGTAACTTATCCTTTTAAAAAACAGTATAGATTTTAAGATGTCTTATGAGCAGTAGGTCAAAAAATCAAAATGTTCAAATTCATGTTAAGTAATACACACTTTGTAATACTTACTACAAATTTTATTGCCATACATATAAATTCATTGATATATTTCTGGTAGAGTAAAACTTCATGTGTTTCTTGTGAATAGTGCACTTTTCTATGAAGTGGCACTGAGTAGAAATTATAGCTGTCTAATTTGCTACTCTGGAATGCAGTGTCTGGAAAATAGATAATAACTTGTGCTTGTCTCAACAAAGCAAAACAAAACATAAATGCATGCAACAATACAGAGCAACACTAAGTAATATTATTTGAATATTACGCATCAGATATTAGACACAAATTAGGCTTTACAAAGGTATGGAGACTACAGGCAGGCAGTAGCCACTATGCCCTTTCATGCGCTGTAGGCTTAGGTGTTACTGAAACAGTGGTAAGGACACTGTTACATTTAGTTTTTCATGTTCTCTAAATTTTTTTTGCTGTCCAGCAGCACCATTTTTCCTTACTCCCTTTCAATATTTGTATGTGGTATTGATTAAACCCACAAAAACATGAACACCTATTTCTTACATCCTTCTTGAAAAGGTTTGCTGGAGGTTAAATAAGTCTGTACCTATTGAGGAGCAATCCGTGCCTTGAAGTATTTCTAGCTGAATACACACAGACTAAAACTAATGTCAGTAAGTTGTTATCAGAAAGGCAAATATTTAGTGGAGTCAGATAATTAAAATACACCAAAATAATGTTTTTAAATCTTTTATTCCTCAAAATGCATGAAAGCAAACTTTGCAAAATTCTGTTTAGTGCACGTTGCTCAAATACCATCTGATTATCATGTGAATAGAAATGATGTACAGCACTTGTGTAAGTGCAGCTAAGTTTAGAAGTGCTTAATTTATAATAAGATTTACCTCTGCTAAAAAATTAAAATGAGAAGGAAGGTGGGTTTTAAGAAATACCACACTGGGCATTTTAGAAAATAAAAATGTGCTACATGTGTCTTTCATCTGAGAAAAAGCTGGGTCAGAAAGCATTTGAAGGGTGCTACTTTAAGTAATGTTTCATGCTAGTTGCTTACAAAATATCCACCTTGGTGTCGTTAAACTACTGACAACAAGAAAATCAAATAAACTGGGATAAAGGTTTTTGAATTGATACAACAGAACACACATAAGCTGCAATCGCTGTGTGATGATTTAGGGAATCAACTGTATTCAATGTATCGTCTTGGTACGCAGAACTGTCTCACTGCTTCTTGTCAGCATATGCAAAACCCAGATTGCTACTTCAGTGATGAAGGACAAAAAAATGGAAGAAAAGTTAGGGAGCTATTGAAAGGATTCACATCCTTCCTCTTCATTCACTACTGCCCAAGCACACCAGTCCTCCCCTTGGAAGCAGCAGTACCATCACCATTTGGCTCCTCCACTGCTCTAAGCAATAATGCACTTTGCTTTTATGGCTGGCTTGAGACAATTTTATCATTTTTATATGTATTTCCTAACTATAGTCACTTAATATAAAATAGAATGTGAAAGTGTCAGATTAGTTTTTAAGAGTATTTTTTCTCATGTTTAATGATAAGTTATTTAATATGAATATATGCATATAGTATTCTTGTTTATTTCAAAATAAATGCACTTGAAATTAATTTTATTTGCAGTTTATATCATTCAATTTTTTTGTCATAAAAAAATCTTTCTTTGCATAACATGAATGTGTAAGTACTTTGAGTTAGAGCATCTCACCATCATAAAAACAGACTTGTTTGCTTCTTTTGGTCACTTATTTAAACAGACTTGCTCTTCTGCCATGGAATTCAGTATAAAAGAGCTGGAAGTGCAAGGACAGACAGGTGAAAAGAAGGCTGGATGATGGGATATGCCATCTGCTATAGAGGCACCCCTCAGATAGGCAGCAGTCACTGTACTCAATGAAACCTTACTCAAAATCTGCCAAATTCCTGGCAGCAGAGAAAATATGTATGCTGCAGCTAAATTCTGTGAAAAGTTGCATAAATGAAGGGTTTTTTTAAAACCAGCTCTTGTTAAGCTAAGAAAACTGTAATAAGGTAAGAAGATATTCAAAGGATGCTTAGGAGCTGCGTGCTGAGGCCCAGACCAGCTGTAAATTGTAATGAAATGGTAGCTGTTAAACCTGGAGCTTTGGGTAGCTTTGTGATACTAACTTTTGCCTGAGCTCTGATGAATTCCTAGTTCCGGCAGAATATCCTGTACTGCAGGCTGTTACCTGACCATCTTCTGCTGATGTTTAAGTTTACCATGGCAGTTTCCCTCCTTGCACATTTTGGCAGTAAGTCAATATAAATTACTTCCATTGCAGATTCTTGTGTTGTAGGACATAGAAATTTATTAACCTGAGGAAAAACAAAATTATTTAAGTGATTTGCAGCATATTATTGGTCATACTGCTGGGTTCCTATAGTTATTTGGTTTCTTCATGTAAATATCAAGATAAGGATGCATTGAAATGGAAACAAAAAAGGGTAGAGGAATTTTTCACTTTGATTTCACTTAATATATTTACATAATGATGTCTCGCACTCCTGTCTCACCGAGGACACTCTGAAGACAGTTTCTATCAAAAGAACTCCAGACTAATACTTGCAGAAGGAAAATAATCAGTTCAGAACCTCACTATACAAAAATTAATCTGAAACTAATTTATAGCAATACAAAGTCTGAACTCCCCTTAAAATCAAGCCAAAACTAGTAAGAGTATTTTCTAATATATGTGAGGTCTGAGTGTACGGTATACAGTATTTTTCCTTATATCTGAAAATCCATGAAAGCATTTGGCACCCTGAACCTGTCAGCAGATGGTGCCCTTGGATATCTTATGTTCTTTTTCATACACACAAAATTAAATACATGAGGGTGTGCTTTAATCTTGAATGGGTAATGTGAATTTTTACCACTAGTTTTGACTCATAAATTCCTCCCACAGAGGAACATTATTATTAGCTAGGGACACTCCATAAAAATGTTAGTGCCCACTTGAAAATTTTAATACAAAATACCTAATTTTGCATATATAAACATTCATAGAAACAGCAGTGTATTAAATGTATTTAAGTTTTAGTAATGTGTTTATTCAATATAAGCAAGTAAACTGTTAATCCTGTTGATCTGTTTGTTTGTTTAAATACAGAGAGATGAGTTACTTATTTAATGTCCATCCTAATAAAAACAAACAAATACCATTGTAGAGGAACTTTTCCAGGTCCAGGTTCATAGCTATCCACTGCAAATAACTTTTCATTTATAGTTTGCTTCTGACAATAGATTTAGAATCCTTCTTTTTAAGTAGCAATACCTGTATACCATGGTTCTTTTAATGTGTGGGTTTACTGCTAAGTGGACTTCGGGAATGTGCATGAGGTTGTGAGTTCTGGTTTGAAACAATGAACTTTTAACTCACTCTAACCCTGATTCAGAACCTAGATTCAGAAAAATGTAGTGCTGTGAAAAGAAACTTCACGTAGTCAAATCTCTGCAGTAAAATACCTGGTCTGAAGTTAGTCACCTGGGCTCTCCAAAAAATACATGCGGAGAATTGCATAAGATCCAGAAATACCACAGTTTTAAATTGGCAAACTAGCTCAGCTAGTTAACCATGCAGTAATGAGTATAGGGATGTTGTAAGAGCTCCTGGGAGCTGTGCATTCTCATGCATCTTCCCTTATGGGCAGTAGCATGTGTGTGAGGGGAGTGAGATGCTCAGAGTTAGAAAGTAGCACAGCTAAAAGAACCACATATATATGTATCTATGTATAGATGGGATTCAATGAGAACAGCTCCCTCTTACACAAGTGCTGGTGACAGCATAGAGGTGGTGTGGAAATACACTGCCTGAAGCAGAGATGAAGAGCAAGATAATGGCAGTCTGGATTCAGAGAGACCTGAGCTGCTGTGGTAGTTGCTATCAAATTAACACTTCTTGCCAGAGATAACATAGCCTGTGAAGAGAATATGCCTCTGCACTTGGAAACTGCACGACAGGAAGAAATTCTTCACTATGAGAGTGGTGAGACACTGGAACAGGTTGTCCAGAGAAGCTGTGGCTGCCCCATCCCTGGAAGTAAGTGTTCAAGGGCAAGTAAAAACAAATAAGAGATTGTCAAACTGATAGTTTTACATTTAGATGCCTCCTTTTGGAGTCATCCGTTAAGCCCCATAACTTCTACTCCTAAGGGCGCAGGTACTCCTAAGCACTGGATCAGTGCACACAGCCTGGGATGGCACTAGATGGGATAAGGTTTCTTACATACTGCTTTTTAGGGCCTTTCTGTGACAGGGGTTGTGATTTTTGCCTAAGCAGAGTCATGCCTTGGGGTACAAATCTCTGTTGCACCAGAACTAGTACTGGCTGGAACCACCTTAACTTTTCCCTTTGTTTCCCACCTGAAGTGGCAAAAGGGGAAGCAGCAGGGGAATGAAAACTCTGAAGATGAATACATCTGGGAAAAAACAACACAGTGAAAGTGATAGAAGAGTGGGCGAGAAAGCCCAAACAGGACTTTAAACAACTTCTCCAAGGCAGACTGTGACAAAAAATAGTATTGCATTAATCTAGGGGTAGTGTCACGTTTAAACCCCAGCCAACAACTAAGTACTACACAACTGCTTGCTCATTCCCAACACTGCTCCTCCCCCAGGTGGTATGGGAAGGAGAATCAGAAGAAGGTAAAACCCATGGGTTGAGATAAGAACAGTTTAATGATTGAAATTTAGTAAAATATAATAAATATAAGAGCAATAATAGTAATGACAATACTGGGGAACAACAAAAACAGGAGAAATAAAGATTTAGAAAACACAAGTGAGGCACAATACAATTGCTGACCACCCGCCAACTGATCCCAGCCTGACCCAAGCAGTGATCTGGGCCTTCCAGGTGACTCCCCCCAGTTTATATACTGGACTGGGCATGACATGGGTATGGAATATCCCTTTGGCTAGTTCAGGTCAGGTGTCCTGTCTCTGCTCCCTCCTGGCTTCCCATGCCCCTCCTCACTGGCAGAGCATGAGACACGGAAAAGTCCTTTATCAGGGTAAGCATTACTTAGCAACAATTAAAACATGGGTTCGTTATCAGCCTTCCTCTCAGACTGAAGCCAAAACACAGCACTGCACCTGCTACTAGGAAGAAAATTAAGCCTATCCCAGCTGAAAACAGGACAGGTTGCAATCAGGAAATTCCAGGAAGGACTTCATGACTTGAAAAGGAAAAAAATGAGCCTTTCCTGTGGAGAACCAGGCAAATTTCCCCTTGTAAGTAACTGAGTTCCTAGCTGGGATGAAGGGACAGCAAGTGGATTAATACATCTAGGCTAGTCCTTCAACTAAAATGCATCTGACAGCTAGATTGAGACAGGAGAGGCAACCAAGCTGCTTGTTTTCATGTAGCTGGGAGCCACAAACTATACACAGTACTTCACTTCAGCTGGGATGTAACATAGATTTTCTAAGTGATGTCTTACATTAGACATAAGTGATGTTGCAGAGATGCTGCTTCTTCCATGTGTGTTAAGTGTGGTCCAACACCCAAGCATTCTGGGGAGAATCAAGCAGCATGATGGCTGTTGTGAAAGTAGAGAGCATCCCTGCAGAGCCGCTGGGTCACGTCATTAGTGTCATGTACCTGTATGTCTGTGTCCATGTGCATTCCTGCTTCTGGCTGCTGGTCTGTGTATTGCACTGTTGTGAGAGCAAATATTTATACTCCTGTCCTATTATCCCTCCTCTTCTTGCTGTTCCACTGAGTATGTGGGAAGTGGCAGGAGAGAAAGTATTCCATCATATCAGATTGCTTACATAGAGGAGGAGATATTCAGAGTCTGTAAGCTGTAAGTTCCTAATCTGAAAAATACTTGTTAAATTAAAAGCATTTTTCATGTATGTTTATTTATTATTCACTGTATTCTGCATACAGTTTGGGATTTTTTTAATTGACCAAATAATAAAAGAAATACCGTGATTAAAATCATCAGGAATTTATTATGAGATTAAAAAACTATATCATGCTTTATCATTTTCAAACTGTTCTAGCACAGTAGGTCTGTGACATTTTAAAATGATCCAGTAACATGAAGTGTTACTTTTCCACACTCAGTTGTTGTAATGGTAGTCTTAAGTGTTCAGTGTAATTTTTTAGCTGACATGTAATGAGCTAGATACACACAGGATGTTTCAAGCTTCTCACCATAACCTATGAATGCACAGCAAATATGAACATTTATAGCCAGCCTTGGATATTAAGTCCCCAAGAGGCTAAGTGAATGCTATCGTAATGTTAGCCAAATGCTCTCTTACTGCAGTATTGTGGTATTCAGTTCATGTATATAATAAGGAGAACACTGTTAATTTTCATAATCACTTTTGTGGCTCATTTTATTTTTTTATTCTTATTTTATGACCTTTCAAACTGGCACAAAACTGAGCTCCAAAGACACTCGCTATGCTGCGTTATCAGTAACAGGTAATTTTTCTCTGTCATATGTTAAGCGTGCTTTTTTTGCTTCCTTCCATTTTGCCACCATTACATTATGAGATTATCAGGAACTATTTATCACATCTTAAAAAAAATATATTCAAGACATCTGTGTAACTTCATTAGACGTGTAAAAACCTCCTACTACTGTTTGCTCTAGATAGATGACTTAGTCACACCAGAATTTCTAGTAGTTTCTTACTTCTTAAATGTCCCGAAATGCTCTGAATAGTATCCATTTACAATGAGCATTGTAGAAATGCAGTATCACCTGACCATAAGTATCAATGAACTTTTAATGTCAGCAATTAGAACCACAGTATAATTATTTATCTAAAGGTGGTTCACCAAAGTAGAGCCCCCTAGTACTTGTGCATGAGTAGTTTTTAATTGGGACTGCATGTTAGGGTACTGGGATGCCTTTCTTCAGAAAGAGGCACTATGTCCACTCTATCCAGCTGGGTTATTTATCTGAACCCAGCTGGAATCTACCTGTCAGCATATGTGGAAGGAGAGGGTGCCTGCTTCATTAAAGTCATCCTTCAGTAACAAAGGACCTTGTCAAATGGTATGACAAGGAGAAGGGGGGAAGCCAAACATACAGAAGCACAAACCCAACCGAACAACACTCAGAGACAATAGCGGGGACCAGCCAGCCAGACTGGTTAAGGGGGTGTGGAACAGGAGGATGCTAGTTCAAGCAAGATCAGATGGACAAGGACCATGTCAAAATGCAGTGATGCCAGGTCCCCAGGCTAGCCTCCAGCAGCTAGGCAGGAGGATGCCCAGCCCCAGGGCTTCAGGAGGCAGCCCCTTCAACACTAGCTAGGTCACACAATTTGATATAGTCAGACGTGGCAATGTTAGAAATACCCAAATCTAGTCCAGGAGAGGCACTTCTTTAAAAAAATCCACCAGCAATACTTTGCACACACCTTGCCTGAGGGGAAAAGCTGAGTGTACCACTTAAGAACATTTTGTTTTCATTTGTCAAGCACTCAAGCCTCCTCCCCAAACCCCAGCTATCTTCAGACCAGCTCCTGACAAGAAGAAAAGCCTCTAAATTACCTTCATTTCCTCTAGCTTGTGAATATTTCACACAAGCATCAATTATCTGTGTTCCAAGTAACTTCTCTTATTGTAGAAAGAGGCTGCCTGAGCAGAGTCATTTGGGAAATCTGTCCATGAATACCTAACTGTTTAGATTATTCCAGGATTTACTTCTGCCTAACACTCCTTTGAATATGCTCACTCTCAAGTTGTTCTGCTGTTACCTAAAATTTCTGCAGGTTATATCATGGAGGGAGGAGGAAAGGCACAGAAACAAGGGTGTCTTATGAGTTGTGCAAGGAACAGAAAGGAACTGTAAGCAAGAAGAAGAGCGAGAGAGCCCAAATCCAGGGGGAGAAGTCAAGAGTGCAAGGGTAGGGGAGAAGAATTCTTTACAGGTCTCTGACCAAAGAATGCTTCAAGGTAACTGGGAGTGTCAGTCAAGGCAGGCTTTTTTGTCCCAACTATATTGAAGTGAGATTTGCCTGTTTATTTAACTAAATGGGCTAAATTTGAACCAGAATGACCATGATTTTGGAGCTCTGGTAAAGAGTATGCTATAATAATTATTATTCATGTAATTATTAGCATGCTAAGCAAGAAAACTCTGATTATTGTGAAATCCCAGCAGTGAGAAAAGGGTGATAGTGGCCAAAGAAAAGTTAGAAAGCTGAATTTAGGAATTAGTTAGAGTTAGAAAGCTCATTTCAGGAATTAATACCAGGAATTGTATGATTTATTTTGAGGTCTTTGTAACACATCATATTTTTATTCCATTATCTCTAGCAAACTGCCATCGCTCTATGTACATCATTTTGTATAATAACTATTAATTCAAATAATTACTGCATTAAAAAGCTTTCTCTGATGTTTACTATGTTTCCCTGGTATGTATTCTTGTTAATAACCCCCATAACACATACAGCATTTAAAAATGGTTTATAGGAGGAAGCTTTTCATTGCTCCCCCCAGTACAATACAAACCCATTTTTATCCTTACACATAGGGCATCTCTCTGCTAGCTTCTTGTGGTACAGCTGTGTGTCCCTGGAAACACACAACTCATTAGTTGCGTTACCGTTTGCACCTGAGAGAGGTCACTGTCATCTGCTCTCAAATTAGTGCAAAAAGCCAGCAAATGAATTGAATTACCTTCATTTCTTTTCACTTTTGCTTGTAAAGCATGGGGTAATCTTATACTTTTAAAGTCTGTTTTGAATAACTATGGATGTTCTCATTAAAACATACTGAAGTCAAATCCTCTATTGTATTAAAATGTGGTGACTTCCATAATTAATTATGGTAAGCTAAAGAGGGTTTATTGCTTATGTCATGTTGGGTTGGGTGAAATACAGTATGCAGGAATATCAAATGTAGTTTTTCAGCACCAGTCATTACATCTCTGCTTTTTTGATGTATAATACATAATTCGCCATTATGCAGAATCTGTTCTTAAGCTCTTAAGTTCTTATGTTCAGATCTTTTAACCACATATTCCATCCGTTTCTGTGATAATTATACGAATTACTCCACTTCCTCTTACAATAAGGGGGGGCACAAAGTTTTGCATTACATGAAAATACAGCAGACATATGGTCAACTTCTTTTCCTTTCTCTCCGTTTCATCCTCTGGAACCTGGCAGCACACCTACTATTGTTTTTGTCATATTTTCTCCAGCTTTCTTCCTCCCTCGCAGCCTGTTTCTCAATCAGAGGCAGTTGTACACCTTCCATGCTGTGATTACTTCACTTCAGTCTCCAGTGTGTGGTATTACACACGCCTTTTTTCAAAGTCCAAACACATTTTAACCAAGTTCCTTACTACCTCCCATGCCGCCGGTGCTCTGACAGACTATAGCAGATTGCAGAAATACTACGGGCCATGCTCGGCATTTCTAATTCTGGAACAGTAATTCACCAACACTAAACCGCAGCCTGGGTTTACTATGACATTCCACAGGCATTTCATTACGATGGCCATAACGCTATTCAGGAAGGAGTGAGTCAGCACAACCCTACGCCGCCTTCCCTTGGCCGAACATCTGATGAGCACAGGGCCAGCCACTGCAACCTCAGCGTGACACGACTGCCTGCCACACTTGGCTGCTGTTGTACCTTACTCCGAGACATGATTCGCAAGTGAGGCAGTGCCCTTCTTAACGAGGTGTTTTAAAGTATTTCCATTAAGTATCAACTTATTTTGGAGGTGGAAAAGCTGGAAGAAGCCACAATGGACCTTACAATGGGGGAAGATGTTATGGGTGTCTCCAGCCACCTAATACCCAAGTGCTCCTGCATGTGCTAAGTGCTTGAGGCATGAAACTCATTTTGGAGGGAGCCGAGCTGCCTCAGGGCCCGGACCCCAACTTCAAGGAGTGCGTTCCACTGGTCCCGCTATCACTCATGGGAGGCGGCGGGAAAGTCCCCTTTCCTGACAGGCTCTCGGCCACGGGTCCTGTAGGACCCCGACTGCGGGTGTCGCCCTCCGGGCAGCCCTTCGCCAGCCCGACGCTGCCCGGGAGAAGAGGCGGGCGGGCGGAAAGTGGGAGGAGCGGCCATGCCAGAGAACCCTGTCAGCGCGGGAGGGAGGGGCCGGGCCGGGGCGGGCTCCGGCGGGGTGCGCGGCCGGGGCTCTGCCCCCCGGAGAGAGCGGTCTGGCGGGAGGGATGCGGTGCGGGAAGATGGCGGCAGAGCCGCCGCCGCTTGCAGGCAGGGCGGCGGGCACCTGGGGCGGCGTGCGGCGGCGCTGCCAGCGGCTGCTGTACTGGGTGCCGGTGCTCTTCATCTCCAGCATCCTCTGCTGGTCCTACTACGCCTATGTCACCCAGCTCTGCCTGCGTGAGTGCCGCTGTGGCGGGTCCCGCGGGACGTGGTGGGTGCCGCCGCCGCCCCGGTGCCCCTTTCCCGAGCCCTGCCGGGAGGGCGCAGCCGGAGTCCCGACGCCTGCGCCTGGCTGGACGGGGACGGGGCAGCGGCGTTGTCTGTTGTTTGTCAGCGCCTGGGCGCCACCGCCACGCCCGCGGCTGGGCCGGAAACGGGGCTGGGGCTGGGGCTGGGGTTGTTCTGCCGCTTGCGGCCGGCGGCGGGCCGGGCTGGGCTGCTGGGTTGAGCTGGGCTGGAGACTGGCGGCGGGAGCCCCCACGGGCCGGTCCCCCTGCACGGTCCCCCTGCACGGACGGGGATGCGCTGGGCCTCCGCGCTGCCTCGTGGCCCCCCCGAGCCGCTGTGTGTGCTTCGCACGGGCGTGAGTTCCTCCGTGGCGTTCAGCGGGAGTGACTGATCACACCCTGCCTGAGCATGGGAGGTGGGGACTGTGCCGCAAACTTAGCGCCCCTTCGCTTTCCCTGTGCTGCATGAGGGCACGTACGTTATGTGGTCACATAGACAGACATGTAGGGGTGTTCTGTCAGCTAACCTGGGAGCAGGAACGGGTAACGGGAAATCGCCATGCCCCGCTTCAGTCATCTAGAAAATGCCCAGCTGCCACAACTTCGTGGTCCTTTGGCATCAGCAGCTGGAATTCACCCGGAGTCATCCCGATCGTGCCCCTCGGCTGCTCCGTCTCGTTAGGCAAATAATCGCATACTGGAGACTGGGTGTGATCTGAGTATCTGTGAATTCGAGCAGTCGAGCCAGAAGGATTTACTAAATGACTAGTTTGCTAGGCTGCCTTGAATCAATTCAGTTTCTGTTTCGGTGTATCCTGTAGAAAACATTGTGATTTTTGCATTTGAGTGGGTAATGTACAGCGTACTGATGCTTCATGAGCCCTATATGAATGGCACGAAGGAATACAAATTAGCTGTTGTTTCTCCTTGCTACTGTAGGTGAGGTTCACAGTGACTGTCATTTAGCATGTTTAAGGAACAGCAGTGAGGGGAAAATACCCAACTAAAGCCGAGTGCACTTATGTGCCTGTATAATTTTTGCCAGACTTCAGCTGTTCACGTTGAAAATCTCAGCAGCCTGGTACCTAATTTTGGATTTCCTGGTTGGTTTTTTATATATATATATTTATTTTTTTAACAGAAGAGTTTGATAAAATTCTTGTCCTACAGGTGCTTGGCTGAGCAGTTGAGACATTAAGCAAAAAAATTGATTGCTAAGCCTAGCACCTCTGGTTTGGAGGGAGGTATCAAGACTTGGTGTGGTTCCTACATTGGAGGTGGGCTTTTTATATCTTTGGGTTTTGGTTTGTTTGGGTTTTTTTATTAATGACATTCAAATCTGTTAGTTTTAAATGCTGCTTCTCAACTAGAAACTGGGACTTGGGTTGTGGGAGAAGCTGAATGAGTGAGCCTGGAAAGGGGAGCTGTAAGCTGACACATGGAGGGCAAGAATGGGAGGAAAGTGGCCCTATAGTTAACAGCTGACGTAGTGTATACAGCCCCATAGTGCTTGTGCAGTACAGTAGCCCTGATTCAGGCACTACCGTTTGAGTGATCTACTGTGTTTTTTTTTTATTCTGTGTAATTCTGTATAGCAGAGGAAGATTGTGGTTTTGCTTACGTGAAAGCAGGTACCTCTTAAGGAAGTGGCATGCTCGAAACTTGCTTTAAGCTGTGGTACTATAATTCCTTGAGAACCACTCAAAACAAAAGGTAATGCAATGGGAGGGGAGGAAGAGGGAATCATGGGCCTCTGCTAAAACATCTTCTACTGAGCTCATCTCTATGGACAAAGATGACTTTTGTTCCCTATCTCATCCCTACCCCTTTCCCATTCTGTCTGGCTTACCAGTTTTTTAATTCAGCCTAATAGTTGTCCACAAGTTCCACTAATTCCATATTTTATCTCTATCTGGATGTTTTCCCTCAGTTTTGGCATATTAAGGTAAAATAAACTTACATCTTGTCTTACTGATGACTATTTAGTGTAAACAACAGAAGGAATAGCTGACAACTCTGAGAATGAAAGCCAATGGCAGGAATAGACTGGAAGCATTTCGGCGCTTTGAAGCCAGCCTGTCTACTCAATGCGTTTTTCATTCCCTTAGCACTGATTGCTAAAGAGGATGCATCTAGCTGCTTATTTTACTGAAGCTTACTGTCATTGATGTTAATGATAGAGGGAACAGTGTTAACCATTGTGCAGTAGGACTTTGCAAGGACTTTGCACAGTTGTAAGTTGTAAGCTTTTAATAATGAGAAAGTGTTTCAAATGTAGTATTTTGAATGTGTTTTTTGCAATTTCAACCAAGTGTTTTAAGAGAGAGATTATACATTTTTTTTAGAGAAAGAAAAAGTCTACGAAGATGATCCCTTTCATCCCTAAAGCTGAGTAGTTAAACTACTGAGTAGCATTTTAGAAACAAAAAAAAGTTTTAGAAACAGAAAAAGGAATCCAAAACTTTTAACTGTAGTATTACCATATATAGAGTTCTGTCTCTTTTTGCAGTGGATTCAGTTAAATGCTTGTGCTGCTTTAACCTTTAAGAGAAAAGAGAAGGGTATTGAACACCAGTAAATGGTTGCCTTCTTCATGCTAGTTATAGAATATGGACTTAAATGTGCAAATGAACTGGTTTTAAATCACCTGACTGAGAATTCCTTCTCTAATCCACTTTCATTCTCTTGATTTTGCTGATATTGTCAGCTCACAAGCCCTGTCTGGCAGCAGTAGTTGTCTTTGTCCCCAGAATAACTTTGTGTTTAAAATTAATGAGCCTTTAAGTATGCCTTCCTTTAAAAAAAAAAAAAAAAGAGTGTATTTACAAAACCTGTGGTTACAGATTTATCATTATTCCTCAAAAAAATGGTGAGGAAATTACAGGGATGTACAGTGATTACATTGAACTTTGGTAGCTGAAGCTGCTGAAATTTCAGCCTAGGATATATGGAACAACAGTAGCATGTAGTGCAAACAGAATTATTTCCCCCAGCTCCTACATCCATATGTCTTAGAAAATACATATTTGATTCAGTAAACTATATGCAAACACAATAATTATTCTTATGCTTTCCTTCTTAGATGTATCTCTAACTTGGGTTAATAGATCTATAAGGGACTTGGAGTAGTTTTCCTTTCTTAGATGTATCTCTAACTTGGGTTAATAGATCTATAAGGGACTTGGAGTAGTTTTTCACTCCATGCTTTGGATAAGGTGGAACCAGTAGGTTTTTGCAGTTTCTAGTAGATGTTGGTCAGAAATGTTTTGGACAAACTTGGATGTTGAGATCCTGTTTGGCTTTTTTTTCATTTTCTTGGCAGTTTGTGATTTGGAGTTGCATATAAGAAGGAAAATGGGAAAATTTGACAGTGCTGTGGTAGATGCTTTTAGTGACAATAACGACTGTGCTGATGAACTATGAATATATGTTCAGTTTTTACATGTCACTGATCTTAATTCTAGGGATACGTTTTGCTCCAGGGGGTCCTGTCCAAAAATGCAGCTTGAATTTGTAAGTTGAAGAAGGAAAATAGATTTGCTGTGGAACATACAAATGAACAATAAGCACTTTCTGGCTACTTAAGTGAAGGGAAAGGACAGAAATACTGTCACCTGGTGAGTGGTTTACCCAATTTGGTAAAGAATAAATGACTTCAGCACAGATGAAGAGGTGGACAAGACATTCACAATACAGTCAGAAATGCTCATAAGCTTCATCTCTGGTTTTGGAGTAGAATATGAGACTGAGATCTGGCCACAGCTACCATCAGTGCAGAACAGGAAAATGTGGAATGACATTCAGCTGCTGAAGATGTTAATGATCATGAATGATTTTTGCTGGAGGATCAGATTGATTAGTGCTGAATTAAGGGTTTTGACTCTCTTTAACATCAGTGGAATAGAATTACAGCAGGATAAAAAGCTGCTTAATTCATCACAGTTTAGAGGCAGAATTAATGAGTGCCCTGTAGGCATGGCGCAGTGTCATCAGGGGATCAGAAGCAGAGAAAATATGGAGACAGAAGCTGATGGATAAAAAAACAGGAAGGAAAAAAAAAAAGTGAGGCCCAAGATTTGATCAGCTGGATTTGAGCTCTTTGCTTAGGATGTTCTCCAGATGGATCAAAGGATGAATGGTAATTGCTGCTCATGTCTTGCAATCATGTACAGCTTACATTTGGCTATAGAAGTACATGTACATTGTAATATTGCAGTTGGCAGTTGCCAAATACCAGTTAAATACCCTGTCTGTACTTTGGCTGCTAAGGTAGCAAGAGACTTTGCTCAGTGCGGATTTGATTTTTTTTTTTTTATGCCATAATTTGCAAACACCACATTTTTTTCTGCTTTGAGTTCCCTGGTTACTTTCAGGAAAGCTTCAAAACTGGCAGATGAAGCAAAATAGGCTTCTGCATTTTAGCCAGTAGTATCGCTGTATGTTTCTCAAATTTAATTTAATTTCCTTCTCAAACAAGTGACAGCTGCCATTCTCCACTTATGAAACTGAACTCAAGTCTTTGTTAAGCGTGACTGGTTATCTCTCCATGTAGTGCCTAGTGTACTTACTACCTGCAGGTTTTGTGCCTTGAAATTCAAACCACGGCTTTAAGTTGAAAACATGAGGTCTATGGTGAGGATATAATTGTTAGATAAGATTCTATTTTCAGTTAAAGGTTGAACAGTACTTGATACATAATAACTTCTTGGGTATTCTCAGGGTATATACTTTGTTTGCTAAGAGCAGTCTGGTCAACAGCTTCTTTAGCTTACACTCTTCGGTTAGTCTGTGTGACTTGGAAAGTAAATGGGAGTTTGTAAAGCAGAAAGATGGATCAGTCCTTAGTCATACTCAATCCAAAAGCAGTGGTGTCGTGACCTTAACTAAAAAAGTACCAGATAGCAGCTTGCTGCTGGGTTGGTGTATAGTGGTATAGTTTGCTGGGCACAGGGTTAAGAGGAATTTACTGAAACATTCACAAATACTGTCAAATCCAGATGTATGGGTTATTGATAACTACTTATGCCAACCTTCAGTCTCCCAGAAATATTTCTGTTACTTTTGTCCTGAAGTGAAGAACTGGTGGCAGTCTCCACCTCGTCACTCAGAATCAATGCAAACCACTGCTCTGTCTAGGAAACAGGTAGTTTTTACTGTATGTACTGATTTAATTTTTTTCTAAAGAACTGTTTCAGGCAATGATAGAACACTTGTCACAACTATAAAACACTTTTATGTGTACAGAGAGCTGAGTAAAACTGCATCTATAGATCCGTGTTTCACAGTTTCAAACAACGCTATAAAGATAAAATATGTACTTAGTTTTGTGGATCAGAGCCAAGATGTTAAACTGTACAAAGTTTGAGAGAAACAGCTATTTATAAATGTGGCTGCAGAGTCTCTGAATCAGATGTATCTTATTTTCGCATTCCAAAGTTTTAAATATTTAGCAAATGTACTTAAAATATGGAAGCAAGATTTTGTGTGTCTGCTTTCATCAAAGCTTTAAAAAATTGCTTTCTTCTATCTTTTTTTAATCTAACCATTACATTTAGTATAAGGTTCAGGAGCTTGATTTTGGCTTTAAAAGTAAAGCAAGATTTAATGTTAGAAAATGAATACCAATTCTTTAAGTGAATTTTATCTTCCAAAATCTTTTGGGTTTTGTAGTAGCAATGTGTCTTGCCATGTCTCTAGTTACATGGAGACAAATGCCTTAATTTTTCCAAGAATAAAGATTTCCAGAGAAAATGAGCCACAGTTCAAGAAATGGGAAATCCATTTCTATCACTGAATTAAGGTCTGACCCAGTGCAAGGGGCCTAGCAGTGTGGCTTCTCTTCTTAGCAAACTAATTAGGTGATGAAGTTGTGACTGGCAGGTTTGAGATACTGTGATGCCTCTTTGCTTGCCAGGGCAACATTTCTAATGCTGCATAGCTTTCTCCTGGTGGGGAAGACTACCAGCAAGTGTGGGATGAATTTTCCCAGCTTCTCTGGGTGTCCTTTCCATCCTGGGCTTTTTCCTATCTTTTGTAACACAACTTTCTGTCCTCAGTCATTATTGATTTTTGCAAACATAGGCTGTTCAGCAGCACTGACTACTCAATTTGCTGTTCCTGTTTCTGGCTGCCTGGGGCTTGGGGTAGCAGGGAATGATGTTTCTGGCTCAGAAAATTGGCATCTACGTTGGCTGAAGTTCTGCATATGTCCTAGCCTGATCCCTAATTCTGATGAGCACTGTCTGCAAGTTGTGTAATGAAACAGAGAGGCTCTAATTATGTGATAGTCTGCTAGTACTGAACTGTAAAGGGCATCCTGATGCTTTAGCTGTGGAAGGCTGATTCTTAATGAATGCAGTATCTCAGCCGAACAGAGCTGTAACTTTGTAATGACTTCTGGAGGACAGGTCATGGTTTTATAATTATCTCCGAGTACACAAGAGTATCATTCCATGTTTCTCTCAGAGTGTTACCTTGTTTTCTCCCAGATTGTAGAAATTGCTTAATGGTTAGGATTGGTGTGTCATTGGTGCGTATTTTAAGCTATTGTAGACATAAATGCTTTTTACCCTTATTATTCATATGCTACTTGACTACTAGTGAGTGAATTCGCAACATTTAAGCTGATATTAAGGACAGGATGCACAGCCTGACCTACTTTTCTGTACGCTATCAGCAGTGAATATAACCCCTTGCAAGAGAAATTAGAAAACTGCCAGAAATATTAGTATAAATGATTCACAGAAGACTATAAGATTGAATATTATTGAGTAATATAGCAAATCTGTATTGCTGAATCTACTGAAAAATATAAAATTTGGTTTAAATAAATACATCAGGTGTGCTGTTCAGAAGGCAGGGAAAATAGCAAATGTTTCTTTGCTCAAATCCAAGATTAGAGGAGTTCTTTCATGTTAGAAAATTACTTTCCATGTTTTTTTGTTAAGCAGCTCAGCCAGTCTCCTCATGAACACCAGTTGCTGTAAGTGTGGAGAAAAAAGATGGTAAGATTGAAGATGCTGGCATCTCTTCAACCTTGTCTTTTCTGCGTTAGTCTCTTACACTTTGTAACTCAGGAGTGTATCAAGTAATTTTGAGTTATACTCAGGTGCTAGAAGACATTAAAATGACAAGGTGTATAAAAAAAAAAATAAAGGGTTCTCACTCTGCTGGGATTAACTTGCGTCTTTGGGCACTTAAGTTTTAGCTTTCATGGTCTGCAGCTTCTGACTGTCAGGAACATATGGCTTCTAAGCTAGATACTACAGAAGGTGAAAAGGCAGTCTGCCGAGCAGGTACAGACCCCGAAGAGAGGGCAGAAATTGTGAAGTGGGCTTGCAGCCAGGTAGAAATCTGAATTTGGATTTTTTAGTTGTATTAGTCCTTTTACATTTTCCACGTCTGTAAGTAAAGCCTCAAAACACATCCATTAATACATTTTATGTAAGGTTGGAGGTGTGTGCGTGAAACATGACAACTGCTTTCACAGCAATGTTCTGTGCCATTCCCTTGTTAAGAGAGAAAAATATCACAAATCATTGTGAAAGGTTGATGGATTGTATTTTGAAACTGGTGATTCTGCAATGTATGCTTGGCTGTGGCTTTTTAATTAGCAAAGAGCAGTTATTCCAAGCAGACTGGCAAAATTTCTGCACACCTTGCGGACCATACCAAGTGGAGAAATTAAGATCAGAATTTGAGAAGTGGCTAGTTTGTCCTGTCAGAGAGCTCCAGCACCTTTAAATTACACATCAGCTCTAAAGATGTCTCCTGGTTTTTTGCCAGTGAATGACTATTTGCTTACAATTTTACAGTTCTCGCACATTATTGTACTGTAGCATCTTTGCTCCTCAGATTTAAATGTGTATGCATATTCCCTCAGCTTCTCTCTAGGGGTTGTCTAGATAGATTTAGCTTATCAAGCTCTAAAGACTTCTCTTAGCTGAACTAGAAAACTGAGAGCAGTCCCCAGGCTGTGTCGTTGCAGGGGGTTGTTTCTTTACAGGTGCATGACTTTGCCCTTGTTGAATTTCCTAAAGGTGCTGTTGGCCCATTCCTTCAGCTTCTCTGGGTCTTCTGGGTGGCAGTCCTGCACACAGGCATATCAGCTGGTGTCCCAATACGGTGTCATCTGTAACCCTGATAAACGTTCACCCTTCCAGAGCATTAGTTAAGGTGTTGAACAGCACTGGTTCCACGGTACATCCTTACATTGTGCAAGATATACTTAAATAGTGACTTTCACTCTGTTAACATGCCTAAGTTTAATACATCAGAATAGGACAGTATGGCTGCTTGGCCTTTCAGTAGGAGTTGCCTTGTGCCTGCTGTTTGAAGAGCAGCCTTGTGTAGCCATTTTTATTAGGACAGCAAGAGGGGATGAGAAATCCATACAGCTACTGTCCTCTTGCTCGCAGTTGTAGGTGCCTGTATGTTACAGTTTGTAGGCTGCTTAACTGGGATGCTCAGATGTGTGGTTTGGATGGAGAGGGAAGAGCACCATGATGTTTTTGCTCACTTGGGAGTTTCCAATCTCTCTGAGTTATCTGTTGTGGGGAGGCCATTTTTTAAATATGACTGAAGGTGGAATATAGGTGTAAAAAAAAATAAAAAAATAAAAAAAAAGATCTATTCTCGGTAATAAATACCGTGACTGATACATGATAACTGTGTACTTCACTCCATGACTGACATACATGCACCTCTGTTACTATCCCCAAATCCTGTAATGTATGCAGTTTCTTGACGGAAATGCAGCTTTTGTCTGCTTCGGTTTTTTATGCCTTGGAGGTCTAAGGTATCACTGAGTATTGCTGCGAAACTACTTCTCGAGTCCGACACCTCTGCCTCAAGAGCATAACGTATGGAAACAGTAAAGCCTGTACAGCTGCAGTTAAAGAAATAACTGTTCCGCAGAGGTGTCTTTTCTTGGGTTAGACTTGGGTAACTTCAGCTAGATGGAGATGCTAGTATTCAGGAGCTTGGCCTAAAAATGGGAACCAAAAAACCTGATAAGCAGTTGGCATTGTCTACCTATTCTTGCCATGAATGTACACAGCATAAAAGCTAGATAGTGTGTGGCCTTAAGCTTGTATGTTTTAGTGATTGCTCTCCCCACTTTCGTTGAAAAAGAGACGTTTAAAATACTCAGTTACGTCATTTGTTACTTAAACACCATTTTTACTCTGTCCTTTTTTCTTATTTTCCAGTGACAATGACAAATATTGGAGAAAAAGGTAAGTTGATTTTTATTAGCTGTTTATAAGTGGAATTCATATATCAGGGTAGTTTACTAGTAGAATTGAGATACAGATCTAACCTGTTCCAAGTAAGTGTACTTTTTTGTATTCCTCAGCTTCTCTTACTATCCTGCTCTTCCTGAATATTGCTTTTGCTATTCCAAATCGAGATTTTAAAAAAATTAGAACTTTTAACTCTACTTACTGGCTTTCTGAAGTGTCAGCTAAAATAATCCTTATATTCTGTTTTTCAAATTTTTCATTCAGAACAAGTAAAGCTCTTGTAAAACCAGGACTTCTGAAGATGAGCAGTGTTTGTGCAGAGTGCAACATACTTAAATGGCTGGTTATTTTTTTCTGCATTTCTTCTGTCTTTGAAGAAACAGAAGCCTTCAGATGCATAACTTTTTCAGAAGATAATAAAACTGCCTGATTAGCTGTCATTAGAGTTTGTACCCCAAGGATGTAGCATGTTTAGATTGCTTTTCCAGATGCTGTTTTAATACCACAGCACAAAATGGCAATGTGAAGTGTGGTGCTATGAAGGTTTTGCAGGAAAGAGTTGGGACTTAAGAGGCAAACTGTATGCATTTTACATTTGCGTAATTCCAGCACGTTTTACTGTGTCATTGGTGACTCCCTCACTTCTAAGTATTTACTAATTAAAAGACCCATTGGAGCAGCTGGTGGGCCAGGGTCACTGTGGTGCAGGGAAACTGGTAGATAGGTAATCTGGGAGAAGTGATTGATCAGGACCTGGGCCAAGTCGGAGAACTGAGGTGCATGAGTGAACAAGAAGAGCTTAGATCTTGTGCAGACTTTAAAGGGGAAACATGGGGTAATGTCTTCAGGCTAAAATTTTGTCTTCCTCCCGCAGTCTGAGTTTTTTAGTGTATGAAAAGGAATTTTCTTATCAGTTACCATTATTCTCACAACAATAAAATATTGATGCAGATTAGCAAATGCATAGGGAACAGAACTGATGTAACTTGCCCTACCTTTCTCTCAGTGCCATGAATATACTGTTGTTTAAAAAAATACTGATTTAGTTTGAATAAATCAGGGTGGGTTTTTTTAGTTTTGGTAAAAACGCAGACTGTTCCTGCCAGATGCTTGTGCAATAACCAGATGGTCAATTAATGTATTATGCTAGATGAGGAGTCCAGTTCCATTGCTTACTTATATCGATGAGATTTTTTTTTTTTTTCAGTTTATAGACATGGCATATGGCTCTTTTCCCCTGTCATCCCAAAAGCTCTCTGCAGGGTTGCTCCATATTCTGTTAGCTTTTGTGTATTATTTTTTAACTGCCTAGTGAATAAGAATAAATATTTACTGTGTTTCTGCTTTTTTTGAGTAAACAAACTTCAACACCAGAAACGTTTATTCAGTGTTACTTTTGAGACAAAATTACAAAACCCAAGAACATACTGACCTACCCTTCCTGCATTTATACACCTTATCATACATGTGTTACAGAAAGTTCTCTAGCACTGAATATCATTATGTATGTGAAAACATGGGCTAACCATACAAGGGCAGTATTTCAGATTGTGTAGTGAAAGTACACAACTTTCCCTTTATGATTTTTTTTTTTTTATGATGAATTTACACAAGTTGTATAAAGGCTATTTGACCACATAGCCACATATAACCTTGAGCTGTCTACAATCTGAGTTCATCTGTACAGCAGAGAAATAGTATTTTTGACTGTTGCTGACCTAGCTGTCCTCTATTTGCTGCTTCTCTGCCTGAGTAGAAAAAAAATCCAACTAAATAATCTTTCTTGTGTGCTAGAGCAAGTTTGTCATGGGATACAAGTATTGGGTTTACTGTAATGACTTGCTTGGTACAGTGAGAGATTTTAAATGGAAACACCTATCCATCCACGGCAGGCTCTTTGGAAAAGATGTTACCTTCTGTATTCTAGTAAAACAACTCATTATGGTAGGTGTTGAGTGGCATCTATTAAAAAAAATCAAAGAATAAATCACTGGCTATGAAGAATGTCAAGTAGTGAGTGAATGTTTCAATTTAAAGAACCTGCAAGTTTTTTAAAACCACCCTACTCCCTCCTAAAAATCTAGAAAAACAGGATAACTGGTTATAGTTACTGCTCAGGTATCATATGCATAGCCACTCGAAGACTCCCTTTTCTGTGGTCATTGTTTAGGTAGCTATACTTCCTTTTGTGGGATTTGAGGGTTTTGGTTTGGTTTTTTTTTCTTTTGCATGGCTAGATGTACCTATACATGTTTTATAAAACTAAAAAAGAGGTACATCAGTTAAGTAGGATTTAACAAATGCATAAATGCTTGCTAAATAATTATGGAGCTCCCATAGGCTATTAACTGTTCCCCTCGAACTTTTGTAATGTATGTAGCCTGTATCATGACTTTCCCCACAAATTGTCTGTTTGTCTCATGTAAAGTTGCAGTGCAGTATTTTTGTTGTTAAGCTTTTGCAGAGGCTCTATTTACATCTGTTAGAGTCACTATCTGTGATATATATAGCAGCCATTTGTAAGTACTATAGTATCACTGGTCTGTTTGTATTAATTCTGTTCCTTTTTGGTTTTAGTTGTGTGCCTGGTTGCTTACCACATATTTTTCATGCTGTTCGTCTGGTCATATTGGAAAACAATCTTTACGCTACCAATGAATCCTTCAAAAGAAGTAAGATAAACTTCACTTTTGTTTCTGAAGTAGCCTGCTCAAATGCCTGATTTAGTAGTTTTTGAATATCTTAGGCTCTGATCTCATGTAGTTTTATGCTGTAGAAAATACAGATGGTCGTTAGAGCTGCTCAATAGCAGTAAGTCATATTGCAAAGAGCATAATGACCAAGACAAAAAAAAAATCACACCTTCTCTAAGTTTTAAAGGTTTTTGAATTGCTTTGTAAAATTACATTGTATTTATGATACTAAGAAGAAAAAAGCTCTCCACTTGAAAAATCAGAGTTGCTCAAACTAGCAGCTTAAATCTTTGAATGGGGCACAAAATTGATTTCTCTGTGTTTAAGGCATATTACCTGTCAGCATCTGTCTGTTGTCCTCTGAGTTAGAACTTCTTCCCCATCTGTTTTGGTACAAAGGAATTTGAGGGTTGTGACATGAGCACACAAACAGGTAAGCTAATGCTGGGAAGTCACAGCTGGCTAGGCAGGAAGAGGAGCTAGTGTAGAACAGCTGCATGGAAAAGAGGTCTGAGTAAACCCATACCCCAAGTCGAAGTCCAGCTAGTTTAGAAGTGTTAAAGAAGGAGGATCAAGTTGTCTTGGAGCATATTAATACACAAAACTGAGTTTAACATAATGTATCCTCAAGATAATTGCTGTTAGTACTGTATTGGCTTTTTAAATTATTTTAATTTCATGTTCTTTCTAACATAAAAAAAAAAAAAAAGAAAAAAAAAAACAAAACACACCAAACCCAAAACTGTCAATAACCTTGATGAAAATCCTCCCCATGCATCTTGGTACAACCAGCACACCTTTTTAGCCTTTTCTGTCCTGTCTTTGTACAGGTACCCCACAGTCATCAGTAGGTGCATTGTCAGACAACCTCTGAGGTCAAGAATCTTCATTCTGTGGCTAGTCTGGATTTTGAAATATCCACAAAGCCAGTGCTTATTTTGGCATGGACTTGCAACTGCAGTTTCTATAACTACTACACCAACACAAAATAAATAGCTTGTGATTTCTGCTGTCTGTTGTGTGGAAGTTCTTTTCTGAATAGTTTTTATTCACTAATAAAATACATAATTGTGGAAACAAGTAGATAATTCAAAGTAATTGGCATCTTCCTTGAATTTCACACTGCAGTCTTTACTACAGCTTGGGGCAGAGAGGAGTGAAATAAATTAAGAACCCATTTCATTTGGTAATTGCAGCAAAGTATGTGTATGTATATGGTGAGTGTAGTGATAATTAGAAGGGTTTTCAAATCACTGGGTTGATGCCAGTAAAAGACTTCCAAAACATTTTGACAAATCCTTAGTAATTACAGTGGATTTCAAAGCTGTCATACAATGCTATTGGAGAACTTAAAATGGGATATTTTAATATTGAAGTTGGGTAATAGCAGTGTATGGTGTTTCTGTGTTCTTTGAATTTACACAATGTTGCTGGCAATAAGTGACATCCTTGTTGTTCCGTGTCTTTTTCCTGATGTAGTAGGGCAGAAGTCTGTAAATGAACTGCTGTACCAACTATAGCAAATACTTGTTTGAAGGCTGAAAACACAGATTTTATGTTTTCTTTTAATGGATACTGCAGGTGATGCAAACCATGCAGCCTGTACATTTCTTTTCAAGCTTATTTCAACTTCATACACATATGAAAACCTCTACAGTTCCAGCTGCAGTTTCTCTTAGAGAGACTTTGAGGGACTTCACTTTAGTGTGTGCCATTCTGTACCTGTATGGCTCATTAGCTGTATACAATCATTGTATGAAGGTGGGAGAGAAGGTGGTTTCCCAGGCAGGAAGGTTTTGTAGACTTAGGACAACTCTGAGAACCAATACAAAGTGATGGTACAATAGCTCCATGTACATCAAACAGGGCGCATTGCAAAAATAAAGTATTCTGACTCGAGTTTCTGCAGTGAGAAATCCTATGTATCCCAATATAAATGAGTTCAGGTGTTAGCAAGAGTGTGTTCTTCCTAGGGAAAAAAACAAAAGGTGTCTTGAGAAACTGATGCTAAATAGAGAAGCTCCAGCTTCTGCTGGAAGATTGTGAGCCTTGTTAGGAAGGTAAAGTGGTGCCTTCTCTGTGTAGGGGAGAACAGGCTGCTAACTGTATGTTTGTCTGCTTTCTTAGTTTTGCATGCATCACTTCGATTTAGGGGAGGAAAAATATTACAATGATTAGACTTTCTGTAGACATAAATGCTATGCAGAGGTCTTCTATTTCTAGTACAGGTTAGACACATCCATATTTGGCAGGAAAAGTGGTAGTTTTTTCAGTGGTGATTTTGTATCCTGTTTCTCTGGTAGAGAAAGTTTGGCATCTCCCATTTCTTGAAGCTATAGCGAAAGCTGACTATGTTGCTGTGTTGCAGAGGACTTAAGAGCGTAGGGAATTTGGACGGTGTCATGTATATTGTGCATCTCTTTCAGTAATTTTACGCTCTCAGTTTTTATTAGAGCAATGTTTGTTGTGGCCATTTTTGGCAGCGACATAAGTTGTCCTTTTATGCAAGAAGATGTTAAGTGGTTATTCTGTCATACAGGATACCCATCTCTTCCTTCTGTCAGCCACTCTCTGAAGTAAAAACACATTCTAACAGCTGGTGAAGAGAACAGCAAGTCTCCAGTGGGAAAGAATAAAAAGGAAAATAGGAAACACCGGAAGATAAATTAAAGCTATGTTTTGTGCTATTACTAGTAGTGTATTTTCTTTCAGTTAAAGACTGGTATCTAGCTTATATTAACTATGCAATATTTAGTATTACGGAAGTAAATTAACTCACCTTTCAAAGGAATGGTAAGCGCTTGAGCCTCTTCTTGAACAGTGATGCTTATTACTTCTGGAAACATTCAGCATTGCATCAATACCAAATCAGAAGCAATTCTAATTTTGTCTTTAGTTGTCATAAACTAAATTAGGGGTCTTAAGAACACTGGGTTATTCGCTGTAGTACCTTATATGTGCTGCAAATTCATCATTATGAAATGAATATTTACTTCTCTTTACATCTCTGCAGATACTTAACTTGGAATTTGCTAACATATCTTTAATTTTAAAAATTATTCCAGTTTCATCTATCATATTCAGACAAGGAATCCCTAGAGAGGGAGCCTAGAGGTGAATCCCAGCAAGAAGTCTTAAGACGGGCAGCCAAGGATCTTCCTATTTATACACGGACAATGTCTGGAGGTAAGTAGGTATTCAGGAGACCACTAAAGGCAGGTGTCTTGATGTATTACCTAAGCTAATTAAATAAAAAAACCCAAAGGTTTGGATTGTAGGGAAGATCTGCTTTTCATACTTTATAAAATAAATAAAGTGACCCAAGAACTTAATTATAACTTTATACAGGTACATTAATTAAGTGGAAACATTGTTGGAAAGTAAATTGCTGCATATGATTTAGGATTTTAAAGTGGATTGACAATGCCTTGCTAAATGTTTGCAAACTGACATTAACAAATAGCTTGTAATACTAACTGTAGAAGAGGCTGTAGCAGTCATTAACTGCATTGATTTCTTCATAGGTTTAAAAAAAACAAAAAAATAAATCACTGCATGTCATGTATAGCTAGATAGATCACAGTAACAAACTTGGTGTTTTACTTGCTGGTTGTTTGGTTGCAAGGACAAACTAAGTTAATGTTAACCTTCTGATACTGTAGATTTGTAAATGCTGGCTATCTAAACAAATCCAGGAGATAATCTCATATAGTGAATTAAAGCTGTTAGAATAATAGCTTAAAATAGCCATATTGTTGAACAGTTTTTAAAGGTTTTCCCATCTAGTAGAGGTTTTGTGTGCGAGTTTTGTTGATTCATTGGGATTTTTTGCCGAGCTGAGGGGTTTGGAAGAAAGAGCTTGATTAGCATGATTAGCAGAGATTGCAAAAACTGAACTTTTTTGGGTGCACTCTGACAGATTCAGCATTGCAAGTACTTACAGAATGCAACTGTTTCTGACCATGCTGAAATGTTTTCTTGGGGGTTCTGCTGGGCTGAGCTGCTAGTATTTACTTTGTGCAGACCTCAGGAATCAAGATGTGTAACTGTACATTGAAATCTAATCTTGGAACTTTTTCCTTTAGCAATCAGATACTGTGACAGATGCCATCTTGTAAAACCAGACCGTTGCCATCACTGCTCTGTATGCGACAAGTAAGAAAATATTTTAAATGTTTTTTTTCTGAAGTAGTGGATTTTTTTTTTTTTTTTTTTTTTTTGACACAGAGCCTTTATACTTTATGCATAGATTTTTCAGGTTTAATGTTTTGGCATATGAGCTTTTTATTTTCCCCTTAGAATTGTTTCAGACTTAATTTTTATTTAGTTACTTTTAGGGAAGTCTGTAACTTACTCTAATTCATTTGATGGCTTTCTTGATGCCAGCATCGATTACATGGTCTTATACATTCTTTACGTAATGGCTAAAATGGTGAATATTAATAAAGAACTTTCCTTAAGAATGTAACCAAAAATAGCTGATAAACAAAAATTTGCTTCTTTTGTTGGAATCTGAATATCACTACCCATCTCAATCTAATCATGATGTCACTTGCATCTTATCTGAGGTAATAAACTTAATATCCTGTTTTTCATTGGATAACTTGCAGGGGGTTTTTTTTGTTTGTTTGGTTGTTTTTTTGTTGCTTTTTTTTAAGGAAAGAAACAACCAAGCATCCCCCATTTCTAACTGAAGTCATAAAATACAAGTTTTGTTTGTCTAACACAAAAGGAAGTTCATGGCGATGCTCCCCAGAAGTCTAATTGCTTTCTAATTTAATGTTTCTTTTGGCTGTTCTTCAGTCTGACCTCTGTCCATTTAGCTTGAGTGTCTGTGTGGTTCTCCACTCTTGCCCTCAGTGATTTAAATTTCTAACTTTAGAGAAGGGGCTTCCTCAGTGATTGATTTATTCTTAGCTTTAAGGCTGTTCCAGGAGCTCTTCAGCTGATAATGCATCAGACCTCTCAACATGGTTGTGAAGCAGAGATGACTTTCCTTTTGTCTAGCAAAACAGCTGAGGCACTGAAAGAGTAGTTGAGCTGAGGCAGAAGGAGGATCTTGGTTGTGCTGTATGGGATGTGGTCGTAAGACAAAAGCATTCTCATGTCTGAGCAGGGTGGAGAAAAAGGATGACCTGTGTTATCCTATGAAATGTGAGTAATTTGCAGAAGGCTATTAGTAAATAAATTTTGCAGAATACCTTGATTTACCTTACCTTGTCACAATTCACTTAAGTCAGTTACATTTGATTTTCTTTTGCATGTTTTATTCATGGAGGGTGATTAATTGAAAAAATGTTTGGGTTTTTTCATACAAGGTAAGTTCTTAAAAACCTTGTGTGCATCTGTATATATTTCTAGAAAAGCAAACCGTATACTTGGAAATAGATTTAGATGTATCACTAAGTATATAATAATTGAACTAGCCTAGTTTCTAAGTCTCTGCCAGACAATAAACAACAGTTGAAAAACCTATTCAGAATGAAGACCAAATCCTGAAGTTGAAGTTACAGGCTGTGTTTTCTTAAATGACTACGCTCTTGACAGAACAAGTGTTATGAGTTTGGGTTACCTCCAGTTTACTTTTAGGTAAACTATATTATCTGAATTTAAATAGATACCATTTAAAATAGATTAGGTAACCAGTAGTACGTATGGGAAGTTCTTAGTCTGTATGTGAATAATTTAAATCTGACATGTAACTGTGCATCTGACTTTTTTTTTTCCTTGCCTTTTGCTATGCTTTGAATTCTGTTGGGGTTTTTTAAGATGCATTTTGAAAATGGATCACCATTGCCCTTGGTAAGTGTACTATTGGCTTTCCTTTTTTTCTTCATGATTTTGTAAATTCTTGAGGGGCCTGTTTATGAAGGTGATGCTTCACTGTTCCTGCAGTTAGATGCTTATGTGAAGTTACTGGTCTTTCAGGACTATTGCAGTGTCGTGGTTTAAGCCCAGCCAGTAATTCAGAACCACGCAGCTGCTCGCTCACTCCCCTGCTTCGTCCCCCTGCTCCTGGAGGGATGGGGAGGAGATTTGAAAGAATGTAACTCCCACGGGTTGAGATAAGAACAATCCAGTAACTAAGGTATAACACAAAACCACTGCTGCTGCCACCAATAATAATAATGATAAGGGAAATAACAAGGGAAGAGAATACAACTGCTCACCACCCACCAACAGATACACAGTCTGACCCAAGCAGCGATCTAGCCCTTCCGGGTAACTGCCCCCCAGTTTATATACTGGGCATGATGTGCTGCGGTATGGAACACCTCTTTGGCTAGTTTGGGTCAGGTGTCCTGTCTCTGCTTCCTCCTGGCTTCCCCTCCTCCCTGGCAGAGCATGAGACTCAGGAAGTCCTTGGTCAGAGTAAGCATTACTGAACAGCAACTAAAAACATCAGTGTTATCAGCACTGTTCCCAGGCTGAAAGTCAAAAACACACACTGCACCAGCTAGTAAGAAGGAAAAAAAAATGACTGCTACTGCTGAACCCGGGACATGGAGTTATTTACTGTGTCTTCTTACCCTCGTTGTGAGGTATGGAAAGACAAGGGGTAATGGGTTCAAACTTAAACAGAAGAAGTTTAGGTTAAATATAAGAAAGAAGTTCTTTACTGTGAGGGTGGTGAGGCACTGGAATGGATTGCCCAAGGAAGTTGTGAATGCTCCATCCCTGGCAGTGTTCAAGGCCAGGTTGGAGGAAGTCTTGGGTGACGTAGTTTAGTGTGAGGTGTCCCTGCCCATGGCAGAGGGATTGGAACTAGATAACCTTAAGGTCCTTTCCAACCCTAACTATTCTATGATTTTTCTTAGACCTATGAGTTAGGTATGTCCATGTTTTTACAGTTAGGATGATCTAGGATTCTGGTCACTAAGAAAACTTCTTTTAAGAATTTCATCTTCATGGACTTCTGAGTATTAGTGTAGCTTAGTTGCACTGAATGATGAAATGTTAAAAACCAAAGGGAAGGGCTGTGCCTCACTCCCCTTACTGAAGCTCCTAGGACAGCTTGAGTGGCCTTGCTGGAAACAGCAAGTTAGCACTTTTTAGCTTTATGGGTTCTTTGTTTTCTTTCTACTTTTTCTCCTCTCTCCCTCCCACCCTTCCTCTTTTTGTTTTCCTGTCCTTTTTCAGCAGCCCTTAGAACCAGTGGGTAAACAGGATGTGTAATTAATTTTGCATCAGTTTGGCAGGTATCTCGTGAAAATACTTAAAGATAATTCTTTAGTAAAATTCAAGTTAAGAGGATTGAGTGGTAGATGCCAGTTCTTTACCACATGAAACCAGTCGGAAAAGAAGACTCTCCTGACAATGGTGGATGGTTCAAAGCAGCTGGTTTGACCTTCACAGATCAGTTTGTCATGGTGGAGGTAGGGGTGCGGGGCTTCTTCTATTTGTCTTGGTCCTGACTACAGCCTCTGACGTAACGCAGTATGATTTAGGAGTCTCCCCTTATTTTGCAGCTGTATGGTGGATACAGTTGAAAGAAGTACTTAACAATATAGGGTAGACTTACTTCCTATGTTTTTTTTTTTGCTGTAGGGATATTAGCGTGTGAAACTTGCAGATGCTTAGTGTTGTTAGTGTGTGTGCTTCTTAAGAAAAAAAAAAGCCCAACAAGCAACCAACCTCAAAACAAAAATACCCACACAGATAAAACCATTGAATGTAGAACAAATTTCTTACAAGAAAAAAGGCTGTTGCCTTTTCTCAGGTTTCTCACTGCCCTGTAGAAAGCTGTAAGAAAAATAGCTGTCAGGCTATTCCTGGCAAAGTGTCAGTGAAAAGTCTCAGTACTATTATTATCATTATTCGGTGTTATACACACTTCTCATAAGATGTATGGTCTGTCTGGGACTTTTTAGTTGTCCTTCTTTAGGATAGTACATGCAAATATCCTTCATGTAGACTTCAATTTCAGAATAAAAATCCATTGAATCAAATAACAAATCATAAACTGAGCTCTTATGTGTTGTATAAAGGGGTAGTGAAGTGATACTTCACTAGGGCATAGACTTCTAGAAAAATAAACTCAATTTTCCTGTCAGTAGCATTTGCTTATTTTGCCTGTTTGCACACTCTTTGTATCCAAACAATATAAACATGCCCAGTTTGAGAGAATATTTACATTGCTCATTGGTTTTAATCTAAAAAGCAATGGCCGCAAAAAAAAAAAAAAAAAAAAAACAACCTAGAGGTGGAGAAGGTACTTGAAAGACATGTAAATGCTTCTTGATGGAAAACTGTTGGAAAATTCTTTTTTTACTCCAAGTAGCAGAAATGCACTAGAAAAAGAGGTATTATCTTGCTTTATTTTTCCTAGTTTGAGTAAACATCCATAGTTCCTTGCTCTCCCTTAAAAAAATAACTTTGTGGAAGTGACAGAGTGTTTGAAATGTTACACAGATGCTGATCAAATCCTGTACTGGGAAATACAGGGCTATTTTGCCAACAAAAGTAATAGTGCAAATCAGTATAAGGGGTCGCATTTAGCCCCCTTGAAAATACCATTAGGTCCTCTTTGCTGTTTGTGTTGGGATTTTTTTGGTGTGAGTAAGAAGGGGAAGGAACCTAAGCAATGCTTAGGGAGACCACAGAAACATTAGTGGGAATTACTACTGTTTTAATATTCTGCTAAGAGAAGGATTTCTGGAGAGAGGACAGGCTGTGGTAAAAATAACATAGAGAAAGTAAGATGAAGTGTTTGGAAGGCAGAGGTAGTAAGATGGTAGTCATGTCCTAGCCCCAGATTAGCTGTCTTCTCCTTTTTTGGGGGCTTTGTTTTGGATATCACCCCTGCACTAACAGAAGTGCTGTGATAAATGAAAATATTTAATGCTAATTGCCCTCTAACTACTCTAAAAGGTTTAAGTGATGCAGACATAAAAGCATTAGTGATTTCTGTGCTAGTACTGAATATAGGTGGAGCTGCAGGCAGGAATGCAATGGGTTGAGGTGTCACTAAAAATATAATTTGTATATAAGAACTCTGATACTAATAAGGTGCATTAGGAACACCTTAGGAATAATTTGAAACATCTCTCCTTTGTCTTTTGAGTCATCTGAAAAGAATTTCTCAGTAATTCTGTGATGCTTTTTGTTAATCAAGTTGCATCACTTTCGGTGTCTTGTAGGTTGTTTGCTTCGCACTTTCAGTAAACTTAGTCTTGAGACAGAGTATCTCTTCTATTTGTACTTCAAAATTAAGTGTTTTGAATGTTACCTGTAATCCAAATTGTTAAGCTGGACTGTTCTTTTATATGAATGTTTTACTGCAATAGCACATCATTATGGGTACAAACTGGAACACAAGAGGTTCCACTTAAACTTGAGAAGAAACTTCTTCTCAGTGAGGGTGACGGAACACTGGAACAGGCTGCCCAGGGAGGTTGTGGAGTCTCCTTCCCTGGAGACATTCAAAACCCGCCTGGACACATTCCTGTGTAACATTATCTAGGTGTTCCTGCTCCGGCAGGGGGATTGGACTAGATGATCTTTCGAGGTCCCTTCCAATCTCTAGCATACTGTGATACTGTGATCATTATTTAGGCAGTTGTTTTTACATTTATGAGTTTTGCTCTTCCTCACAAATCATAGACTTCAAATCTAGCCACCATTCTTAGGTTTTATTATAGGTTCAAATATTACAATTACAAAACCTTGGTGTTTACTTTCTCTCCAGTCTTCTGATGAACTCTTTCTGTTCCAATAAGAACTCCTCAGTCTGCAGCTATTTCAAAATTGAATAAAGTTAAATAATTTATGAAAGTTTATTTTAATGTGTGTACCATATGCAGTAGCACAAAACAACGAGAGAGAAATCTGTCTTTGAGTTAAGAAATTTCATCTTTGGGGAATAACATTTCACTTGATGTTTGTTTTGTCACTAAACAGTGTCATAAAGTAAAAACTGTCCTAAAATAAATACCATGAAAGGAAAATAGAGTTATCAGAGAAACCTGGAATCTGAAATGCTTGCAGTTTATCATGGAATTTCTTACTTTGACACGTTTAATGAAAAAGAACACTTCACTGTGGAGAATTACAAATTTACTTTCCAATAAGAATTATGGTGACCTTAGAAAATATCCTGTGGGTCTTTTTAATTACAGCAATCCGTTGCGCATCCTTCTTAACTGTAGTTGATACAGATGCTTAGCTATCACTGCATGTTTAAATGGTAATGCTAAATTTAGTGTTTGGCTAAGGTGGCATGTTTTGTAGAAGTAAAGCCAATAACAAACCAAACAACCCCCTTATCCATCCTGAGGGTGGATGACGGTAGTGTACAGTGAAAATTTATTTGGTATTTTGAGACTTTACCCTCTTCTGATTACCATATATTACCTATTCTGCCATCACCATCACTGACTCCCTAAAGAAGAGAATAATTGCAATATTTTTTCCTGTACTTCTAAAAGCTAAAGCTGAGGCTTACCATGAATTCTTATGTTTTGAGAATTACTTTTTAACATACAAATGCTTTCATGGATGTAGTCTTCTCTTAATTAGCTGATCTTTCTGACAGCAATATCAGTTAGTTAAAGAAGGCATATGGATTAAATGTGACTTTTATTCTCACAAAATTCAGTTGAGATTCAGTTTCTTGGCTTGTAACTGTCTTAGTTATGTGCAGTATGCCTGACAGTAAGACATGGATGCTTAAACTTACCTACAAGCTAAAAAGTTAACTATAACTGCAGTCATATTTATGTCACATGCTGGGAACAGATTTCATGCAGTAAATGAAAATGCAATTTTAGTAAGCTGTTGAAAATGGTTTTATCTGGTAAAGTTTTGGGGTTTTTGTTTTGTGGTAGTTTTTGGTTAGAATTACTATACTAATTTGGGAGTTGACGCTAACTAAGTTTCAGTAGCTTGAGGCACTAGAGATAGGAAGTAAAACTTGGTTTACATGCTGTTAATTACTTTTTTGGAGTAAATAAGTTTAAGTTGGATGAAAGGAGAGAAAATAACCATTATATTCCATTTTTACATTTTTATTATCACATATTTATTATTACATCATATTACATTTTTACATTTTATTATCACAGGGTGAACAACTGTGTAGGATTCTCCAATTACAAATTTTTTCTTCTCTTCTTGGCTTACTCGCTACTGTATTGCCTGTTCATTGCTGCAACGGATTTACAGTATTTTATCAAATTTTGGACAGTAAGTACCATAATCTACATACTGTCTTAAGCATGTGAAATTACCACTGTACAAGAAGTCGAAGATTCCAAGGTGTTGTATTGTCATCTAGTATCTCCTACTAGGAGGCACAAAGTTCATCTAGTAATCATAGCCCACTACTTACAATAGTTTCTGAATTTTCACTTGTTTCTTCCTTATTTTGAAGCTGTGTAGAACAAATATGCAATTGTTTAGAAAACATGACTGCTACTGCTGAACCCAGGACAACATTTTACAATGAAATTTACATTATAAGTAGGTTTTGTTAACTCTGATGCTATGCTGTACAAAAGTTCCAGAGACATTTTCTAGTATTTTAATTATAATTATCTAGGTTCACAACTTAGGGTATTACCTTCTTAGATTTGCAATATTTATTCTATAATGTAAGTTTTCTGAAAAGGTTAATTAAACAGGACAATTGATGAAAAGATAAATTACTCTTCACTGAAAGACACTTCAAAGTTCACATCCAGATTTCAGATTGTTGCTGTCACTATTTATACTTTCTCAAGAAAGGGCTTGTTTCTTTAACTTAGATACTGTCAGCAACTTAGTTTCATGGCCATTTGTACATGTGTAGGTGTATAGAAGGTGTATAATTCATTTACTTAGACTCTTGTATGTGGTGTGCTTGTGTCTGCACTGAATTTAATTTGACTGAATAGAGGATTATTAATAATCAAATTAAACAGCTATTTCCCCAGTTCTAACAGCATTTTCTTGTTTGTTTGTTTTATTTGTAGAATGGCCTTTCTGATACTCAAGCCAAGTTCCACATCATGTTTTTATTCTTTGCTGCAGCTATGTTTTCTGTCAGCCTCTCTTCTCTCTTTGGGTATCACTGTTGGCTTGTCAGCAAGAATAAGTCTACATTAGGTAAGTAGATTGAATGCTTCTGTGTTTGACAGCTGAAAATAAATAAGAAATGTATATTATATGTATGGGAGTAATAGAAAAAGTAGGCACTCCTATAGAGGTTCCTTTGATCCTGGTTAGATGCCTGAGCCAGGCTGTGTCCAGTATTGACTCCCCCGTTCTGGTGCTCCTCAAGGATTCTGTGTCTTCCTCTTGCCCCATGCTACTAATGAAGTTACCCTCTCCCTCCCATTTCCTCTCATGCACAGCTTGTTAATAGTAACTGAATAAACTAAATAATAATAATAGTAGTAAAATAAATAAATAAAAAAGTTGAGATCACTTTGCAGTAAATGCCATCTCACTAAAGCATGCTTATGGAAGTGCTTCTTGTTTGGCATTTCCAGCCCCGCAGAGCAGAGTCGGCTGATGTGATGTCTCAGTCAGGGCAGTGACACCCATGCTCCGTTCCCACCCTTGCTCCCTGCAGAACCAAACTTCCTCTGTTCAATTCACCTATATTTTTGTTCAGAAGTTCTGAAAAGCATATTTATTAATCCCAAAACTTTGCCTCTACTGGGGGCAAGGAGAGGGGAAAAAAATCCAGAAGGCAGGTTGATTGTCACCCTAGTGGCATTAGTTTTGATCAACATGAATGAGCAGAAAAAGGCAATGTCAGAGAATGATCTAACATGGAAGAACAGACTTTGAGAAAGTATTTCTATATTTGATACAGTTGGGTGTCCTGTCTGCCACATAATTATAGATGCATTGAAAGGACTCTTGAGTTACAAGTTTATTTTGAAAAACCTCAAAGAAGATAGCCTGTGCCTTTGCTATGGGGCAGTATATATAACTTAATTGAGTATCAGCATTAAAGTGGGATTTCCCACCACTTGAGTGCATGTTTGCCTGGTTACAAATCTTAGTAAATGGAGGTGCAGAGAATTTGGATGCCTGTTCTACGCTATATCCTGGACTATAATAATACCAATCTGCAGTAATGTTCATTAAAGTTTCTAAATCTCTAAATGCTTTTCTGTTGATCTAAACTGAATCAGAGTGATCCAATGAATTGATTTTTTTCAATTTTTGCCCCCAGTTCTCTTGGGATTTACTAATATATAGGTGATTAATGAAAAACTTTGGATATATGTGTTTGAAAGCTTGTTTACTTCAAGATTTCTCCCAGGTTTGTGGGTTTCTTCAGTATGCTGCAAATAATGTACTTAGCAATTAGTATCGGAAAAAAATTGTTCAATCTAGTGATAGGTGGAGAAAAACTTCTACTAATGATGCTTAAATGAACATAAATAATTAAGCATTGTGTTTATAAACTGGTCTTACCATTTTAGTGCAAAAAAAAAAAAATTGTTAGAGCTGCATTTAATTCAACATTTCATACTTTCAAAACACATTGAATTCCATGCAGGTAATAAATCATGTTTTCTCTACACCAAAGCTACTCAAAAAAATCTGTTTGTCTCTTCTTCCTATTTTACCTTGGGAAATTGCTCAGTATGTGAAACCCTGAACATGCAATAGCTCGGAAATGAAGCCATGGCAGATTTAAGTGTGAGTGTTCTTAAATCCAGGGAGCTGTTTTTGTAGCCTGGCATGGGCATCTAAAAGGGTATCTCTATTTTCTCTTCCGCCTTCTTTAAAACATCTTGTAACTCACTAATTATGTATACTACATGTTGAAGATAATTTCCATCAGTTCATAGCTAAGGATTTACTGCAGAAGGATGATTTCTGCATGGTTTCAGCATGGTTTGAGCTGTACTGTCAGGACACCAGGACATGGTTTGCTTAATATATATAGCCAGTTAAGGGAATTAAATGGCTATCCGTCACTTGGTGGAAAGTGAATGAGTTTTCTGCTTCAGGCACTTTCCAACGCTTGAAGCTATGTTTAGCGCTCATCTCTAGAAATTTAGGTTGGACGTCTGGGGAATAATCTGGGTCTGTGAGTAAAATGCTTTCTTTATGTAGCTGTAAAAATACACAACACTTTAATACCCCAGGGTGTGAAAAGCTAGTCTTACTACTAAAGTAGGTTAAGCTTTTCCTCTTTTCGATACTCTTTCTTTCATAAACCCTTCATTTAGGCTTTTCTTTCTTGAACACTGTGGTATAATCACATGCTGAATTCTTCATATACCACACCTTAAAAAGTGAGTTACGTGTTCTTCTTTGACTTGATTACGGAGGAAGGTAAAGGAGACTTCCATCCTTCCTTGGCCATGGGACTTCCTCTGCACACACAGTGACTGTGGCGCTGACTTCGGCTTTCATGCACAGACTAGCTCTCTTAATCATTTGGGCAGTACAGCCTCTCCTCTTGGGTAATGGCATCATCAGTGCAATTGCCTAAATACCAGTGTGAAACTTGAAACATGCTACTCTGCAGAGATTTAATTATTTTTCTTTTTCTTTTAAGAGGTATTCAGAGCTCCCATATTTCGTCACAGAACAGACAAGAATGGCTTTAGCTTGGGCTTCAGCAAAAACCTAAGGCAAGTGTTTGGCGATGAGAAGAAATACTGGTTGCTGCCCATATTTTCAAGGTATGCTCAGTTTTTAATGCTTCATTTGTTAGAACTGTTGAATAATCAGGATGCACAGGGTTTAGGGGGGTGGTTGGTATTTTGGAATAAGGTACAGTAATATTTGCTTCACAAAAAGTTCTTTGGGATTTGGGTTGGGTTTGGTACATGTAACGCTAATTATGAATTTTTCAGTCTAGGGGATGGTTGCTCCTTCCCAACTTGCCTCGTTAATCAGGATCCTGAGCAAGCTTCCACACCTGGTTGTCTTAATTCAACATCCAAAAAGTAATCTGCTTTTTGTTACTTATTTCAAATAGTTGATAGTCTGTTTTTACTTCTGCACATGTAAACAGAACCATTTATAAGATACTTAAAAGTGGTAAGCAAGCAAAGAGTATCCTGTGAATAAATACAAGTCACATTTTAAACAGCTAAGCTGTAATTCTACTAATCCTCAATTATATTTAAATTCATGGAAATAAGATGTTTTACCCACCCACCCAATGTGCTTTGTCTCAGTTAAGTGGCATCCCAGGACTTGAGTTTTCCACACCTGCCTAACATTCTGTAATGCATACATAGGAGACTGTTGGTCTGCCTGTGATATGGATGCATTATCTTGCATCTCCCTTTTGGGGAGGCTTGCTGCTTTTTATCTAGTTAAAAAGGTTTCATATAGGGGAATTACAGGCCTCAGCACTTGGAATCATAGAATCAACTAGGTCAGAAGAGATCTTTAAGGTTATCCAGTCCAACCTTTACCCCAGGATTGCCAAGTCTGCCACTAAACCATGTCACTGAGGGCCTCACCTACAGAGTTTCTGAACACTTCAGGAATGGTGATTTCACCGCTTCCCAGGGCAGCCTGTTCCAATGCCTGACTACCCTTTCAGTGAAGGAATTTTTCTGAATACCCAATCTAAACCTCCCCTGGTGAAACTTGAGACCATTGCTTCCTGTCCTATCACTTGTTAGTTGGGAAAATCAATCAGCTACCTCGTCACTCCATCTTCCTTTCAAAAACTTGTGCCAAAGCACAGGAGGCTGCCTTTTAAATGTACGTGTTGTTTCTCCTGATACTAGGACGTTTTCTTAGTTGTTATCCTTCATAGACATGACATCTTTGAAGTGTGAAAAGTACACAGATGCTTCTTAAACTAAATTAATATAATAGCTTAGTATTTCATATTGTAACTTTTTTGCAACACTTACATAATGAAGAGTGTGGTAAGTAGAGTAGACTTCAATATGCAACTAAGAAACTATCATGGAATAGTAGAAACAATCTTTTATTCATAAAAGAAATACATTACATTTCAGCTAGCTGTTTATTGATGCTTTAAATCTTACCCCAGTGATCCATAGCTTGTATTAAGTAAGAGAGTCTGGAGATGTTTTCTCTGCTATTTATTGTGTCAGGTTTGTTGTAGTGGGAGAGAATATGGTTAAAGTGCATTTGGAACTGAAGTACATGTACTAATATATAATAGCTGTCAAGGGAAAAATTGGAATGTTCCCCTGTTCTGTGCTAGGGAGTTGCTTTATAGATTGCATCTGTCACACGCTTGCATCTGTGACAACTACAGGGTAATGTTTGTAGTGATAAAAGTGGTGTGATTCATCAGAAAAGAAGCAAGGTAAGGTAGGTAAAATACAGATTATGACAGTTTGTAAAGTGTGGTAAGATAATGAAAAATTACTGCAGTTTACTGATGTTCTTTTTATTGGTGTTACAGTGAGAACCATCTGTTTCCTGCAAAGCCGTTGTGTGATTCCCAGAGCCACCTTCTCACAGATACACCATCTTGGTCTGAAACCAGTGCAAAGGCTGAAAAGGGCAAAGTTGGTAAGGAATTGATCTTATGCTGCAGTGGTTTGTTTTGTAGTAAACTACTTTTGAAGGATACAGTGTAAAACTGACCACAGTTACTTGGTTTGTATTCATGAACCAAAATTCATGAAGCTTATTTTAAATCCATGTTTGTAGGAAGTTTTGTGTATTGAGTTGCTGTTTCCTTTCCAGTTAAACCTGACCAAGAGATACTGAGAACTCTAGTACTATTAGATGCTAATTATCGTTTAGGCTGAGCCTGATAGTTCTTTTGGCAACAAATTGCTTATACTAGAACAGGATAACACCTTGTTGCACCTAGTGAAAAGCTGTGTAATGGACACAGGAGAGGAATAGACTTGGTAATAGTGGAATGACATTCAGGTGGCTTGTTAATTAAAGGCTGTATTATTTGTTGAAATAGACATGAGACCTTTTCCTATGGAAATGCCTCTTTTTTTTCTTTTTTTTTCTCTAAAGGTATGAGCAATCCTGCATTAACCATGGAAAATGAAACCTAATTTTCCTAAAAAGAAACATTTTGAATATGTAAGGAAAGGTATGTTAATATTCTCTGTACTTAATATGCTTCCATGATACCTTACCACTTGAAGAATGCACAAAAGAAAATTACTAAAGCAATTCCTATTTTATTTTCTTAAATTTAATTATTTTTACCATTATTAGTAGCACATGAATTCATAGTTTTAAACTAAATCTCCTATTTCTTGGTATGTCATGTTTGCAAACTAGTTTAACCTTTATACCCTTTGCTTTTAGGTAATATTCCAAAGTATTATTCCCCTTCTTTAGAAAGGTAATGAAGTTGTGACTCTTCAAACAGTCCAGCAAATATTTGTAACTCTGAGTTCGAAAATGAAGTTAGTTCTTAACACTGAACCATAGCTTGATCTGCTAAAACAGGTAAAGATCTGTCAGGTGATGAAGGAACAAAGATTTATTTGAATACATAAGCTATTACCAGCTTGTTCTTCTGTGCCAAGGACTAAGCTGAATCCTCTTTAATAGCAAAAACGTGCTGCCTACTGAAGACAAAAGGTGCCCATATGACTTCCTGAGCCACCTGTTGTCAAAATCAGCTAAGATTTTTTTGATTTCTTGCATTGGTATTTTGCAACAAAGACTTCATGGTTTAAGAAGCAGTTAGTACATTCTGTTACGTACATGAGAGGAGGAGACCTTAGTAATTGGGTTGCAGGGAATGAACACAATTGATCATCATATTCACTTTCATATTCAAAGGTTTCTTAACTCCACCAAAGCCTGTGGAAATCAGCTATTTAATATTTAAAGCTAGATAAAGAATTTGACTCCAATCCTAAGAATTTCAGCATCCTGAATAATGTACAATTTTCCAACATCAGAGGAGTTGCTCCAGCAAGGTCATTTCCATCTCTGCTATTGAAGGCACCTTTTCAATCATCCTGGAAAAAGTGTTTCCAGTGCATGTCCTTCATTTGTGTATGACATGGCTCCTGAACATGCTGTGTGATAGCTGTCAGGTTGCTCTCAGTCACTCCTGGGGGAAGTGGAAGGCATGGAATACCATCAGAGAACTTCAGTGATTGTTACTAGGTCCATTAGGCATGGTATTGCAATGTCAAGGCAAGTGATAAAAATGGTAGGTGTGCAGACAGCAGCAGGTGGCCTGCAGCTTCTACCAAAACAGGTCCCACAAGTTCAGTTGGATTCATCAGAGAAACTGAAAAATTCTTGACCCTTACATTCTGGTTTTGTGTTATGTGGCGAGTGAAGACACAGATGGTTCCAGATATAGGTACATCTACAGACTTGATGGTGTGAAGTGTTAGTGTTGAAAATGTAGGTGTCAAATAAGAGTTAGAGATGAGAGAGTGAAACAGCCATTTTCTGCAATTTTGACTGCTCTGTGTACATTTTTTTTAATAGAATCTAAAAATCTCATTTCCAGCCTTTTGTTCAAAATGTAAGATGCTATGCCTCTACCAGTTCTTTCTGCAGAATGGCTTCTGGGAGGAATAAATTACTCAGCTTCAGCTAGTTTAGTATCTTACATATCATCGCAACTCAAGTAAAGCTTTAGAGATAGGTTTTAAAGAACTAGTTTTGTCCAGTTAGAGTTCTGCTTTCTAAAGTCCTGTTAAGTAATAACTTTGAAATGTTCATCTTTCTTTCAAGAATGTGTACATTTTATTGGGACTTTGTCATTAAGATTATTCTGAGTTCCAAACATAGGCTGTGATTGTTCCCAAGGTGCTGAAAGTGTTTTTTTAAAGCTGTTTATCTTGATAAACATCTCATGCTCTTTCTTGGTTTGTTGTTTTGATTTGTTTTTTCTTTTATCCATCTGAGAAAGTAACAATTAGGGTTGTGTTTGCAATCTGATTACCTCAGCCCCTAGATTTTGGGGTGGAATTTTTGACTCTGATTTTTTTATTACTTCTTATTGTGAGCATCCATTTTGAAATGCGGCTTTTTAGAGAGACAACCTTCAGAGGAGCTTATGTTCCAAAGAGTAAAAGTAAAGCCACATAAAGAGGGTTCTGGAAGTTAGTTTTGCCTTAGACAGATACATGTACATCTCAAAAGGGCAGTAGCTAAGGACTGATAATTTTTCTGGAATGAGATTAAGTGTCAGTTTGTTTGCACCCTTAGCTCTGTTTGAGATATTTCTGTGTGGCACTTAAAAGACTTTATGGAGATGTAAAAAAAAAAGATAGATTACTGTATGTATGTGTGTGTTTATATATATATCTGACATTTAGTTGCTGGAGTGAGAGCCCTTAAAAGTAGAAGTAACTACTTTGCTTTTAACTTCATTACTTTATTGTCAGTATTTGAGTTATATTTGTTTCTAAGGAGTGGATAGAATAATAAAGATTTTTAAGTAACAACAAACAACAAAACCAAGTAATTTAATCTTTGACATGAAAAATACAGCTCACGGTTCCTGCCAGTGTGTTAGTAATTTGAATTTGTGTCCTAACTGAGGATATGTTGGATGGTTGAACAGGGCTTTGAGCAACCTGGTCTAGTGGAAGGTATACCTGCCTGTGGCAGGAGGTTGGAACTGGATGAGCTGTAAGTTCCCTTCCGACCCAAACCATTACATTATTCTGTGTTCAATATCTTGTATTTTGTAATATTTTATAGTTAATGAGGGGACTGATAACTGAGAGTGCCAGATATAGTTTACACAAATGCGATTGATGGAGAATTGTTTTTTGATGATGTTGGTATCTGGAAGTACTGCAACAATAGCTCACTTAATTTTATAAACTGGTGCCTGCTTGCTGTGTAGTCAGTTTTTAATCACTGTCACCCTGAAGTGGATTAATAACATAACTGTGAACAGTCTTAGCAGGTTCCTCTTCAGCGTGGGTTTTTCACATGACTGTTGTTCACTTTCCACTTTGATTTGATGAGGCTTGTTGCAATGTCTTAAAGTGTTCTTCAGTTCTAATACTGTATGTTGTGATTAATGTTATGTTCCAGTTCGAGAAAAAGCTGTTGTTGGAAGGAAAATGAATTCTTCCACGTATCAGCCCTGTTGGTCAGCTGCTCCTGTGTGGATGTGCTCAGAAGACAAACGGACAGATGATTAGCTGCCTCCATGTCACTGCTTGAAACATGAAACTAAACAAAATACTACTTCTGAACCGTATAAAGAGTGTTTCAACTTAAAGTTACTGATTTGGAATGGTTAAGGATGATGAGTATTAGGAAATTTAAAAAACAGAGTCTGAGTTTACAATTGTAAAAATTCCATGGCTGGTTTTACTTCAATTTTCAGCACAAGAAAGATGTGACCTCCTCACATATCAGTCCATGTTCTTGCCTTGGTTGTGAAAACTCACTGTTAATTCAAATTGCTGTAAGTAGTTGACTTCCAGATCAAGATTTTGCACTACTGGCTTTACAGATTTGGAAACAAACCAGTGTTGATTATGAAGAATTTAGTGGCTTGGTGGACTGTGTTTTTATTTCAAGCATTCGATAAGCAACTTTTGCAGATACGGGGACCCCAGTGAAGTGTGACTATTTATGAAGTATTTTTGGAAAACATGATTGCAAGAGCTCCGTTGTCCCTCAGATCTGAACTATGAATAGCTGGAAAAGTTGGGGGGGGGGGGGGGGGGAGTGGTGTGTGTGAAGAAAGTCCTCTGTTAATTGAGTGCTGCAGTGGGTCACTGGCAAGGGGAGTGATAAAAAGCCTGTGTTCAGATGGGTAATACATAAATGAACGTGGCCAGGTGGGGATTTTGATTGGAGTTGCACAAGACAGTGCAAGAAAGAAATAGGGGATTTTATTGTGCCATTTGGAGCCATTAGCCCCTTTGAGAAATGAATGTTGGCACTTAACTTCGATCCAAAAGGCTTTTTACCAACCCATGTTCCAGAGAGCCACTGTCTTTCCAAATCCTCATTTGTTATTAATCAATAGTTGTCTCAGATTTCTTTTTCACTTTTTCACTGTTGTTTTTTAAGACACTGCCTTTCTTACTGCATAACTTAATTAATACCTTGTACAGTCAAGGACATGGTTATAACTTGTGGTATTTCTTTTACAGGACAGCAGACATTTGATTGCAATACCAAAAAACCAAGCTGCTGCATGTAGGAAACCCCCTTCAATTGAGTTAGAAGCTGGCAGCTTGCTTAGGATCAGAATTTAACAGCCAGAGAACAAAAGATGCATTATCAACTTTCAAAGTTAGGGAAGTTTCAGCTACACAAATCTAACTGTCTTGTGCCTTTTGTATACATTAGGTTTATGGTATCAGTGTTTACATTTAAATGCAAATTGTTATTCCGGAAACAACTTTAGGACGAACTTGGTAATGCTTTCTAGGTGGCTAGATAAAAGGACTAGTCCAAAAGAAAAAGTTAAAACCTCTCGCACTAAACTCAGTTCAGCTGAAGCAGAAAGGTACGTCTGTTATCAAACCCAAGTCACGTAGCAGGTTGGTTCGCAGTGTGAAGATGCCAGTGTGCTTAGAAAACTGGCAGCAGGACTAAGTGAGAGATCTCTGAAAACAAAAATCGTACCGTTCACTCTACTACAGGCAGGTAACCTTAAAATCTGTCTTTCCTGGGTTTTCAACTTCAGTGACAGCTGCTGGAGCACAAACGTGGCTTTTTCTTTTTTTTTAATGAGAAAAATGTACTTATTTGACTTTTTTTTTTTAATAGAATCTCAGAACTTTACCAGCCTGAAAACATGTTTCTTGCCAGAAGTGCCAGATTGCGGATCCCTTGATGTAGAACACCTTTTTTTAAACTAGCATGAAGGTGGCATACAGTTTACATGATGCCTGCAGACATCTAGCAACCAAAAGTTTTTGCAGCTATTTATTCAGTGTTGTGCTGTCAGCTTACCTCGTATTAGTGTTTGTTTAAAGGCTGACTTGTCAAGAGAATAATGGGGAGAGGGAAAATATATTTTTTAACACTTTGGGTTCTCTAGCTGTAGAGTCTTGTTTTCTATGCGACAGGGTGGTTTGTCACGGAGCATGCGTTTGAAAATACTGAGTAAAAAGTTGACATTCAGCTTCAGTGTGACTTGCTCCATATTTTTACATAAAAGACAAAGTACAGATTTCTTCCTGAGCAAAGCTCATAATGGTAATGGATCTCTCTGATAACAGGTATCAGCCTCCCTGGCTATGTCCAGGGCTCTGACAGCAGTCAGTAAGGCTGGGGATCAGTGGAGAGAAAGAACAGGGGTAAGGGGTCAAGAAATCCCTGGCTTCTCCATGTCTCAGAAGTCACTTGGAAAGCACAATAGCCCTAAATAGCCTGCAGCTTTGATGCAGCCAGAGGCTGTCCCTCTGGCAGAAAACTGATGGAGGCATGGGAAACATAGGCTGATGAGGGAGAAGAAAGGGAAAGAGAAATGGCAGTAGCTCATTTCACTGTTCAGCGGATCTGTGCCAGAGAGCTTTCAGGAAGGGTATGAGCTGTGCTTCTGGGAAGAGTACTGTCACTGAGCTTTGGAGGGTTCCTGGCAGTTCTTGTTGTATAGAGTATGAATGAAAGTGCGTGAGCTAATCATGCTCCAAATTATTAATTTCTGATAGGGCTATATTCTTGGCTTTAAGATAATACTTTATATAGCAAAGTGGAAATGGTCTTTTTGACATATTGTCATTGAGCATTGATGCTGTTACAATGCACATGGTAGAATTTGTGCAAGAGGTAATGTTGTTTGTCCACTTAAACTGATTCTCCTGTTCTTTATATTCTTGCTAGGCACTTTACTACAGCTTTTTGTGTAACTTCTGTATTTTTTTTAAAGACTGCTTTTTACCTACTGTACAGTTATTAATCTACTTTTTGCTAAAAGAAAGTAATAGCCCTGATATTTGTCTTGCAGTATGACTGCATGTCAAGCTTCGGTGGAAGTTGGACGAGTTCTACACACTCCTCAGATGGGATTGTCTCCCTAATGACAACAGAGCTAAATTTATTTTGTATATATGTAAACAGTCATGTGAATCATAGCCCCCCATGTGCGTAAGAAGCTCCCCTAATTTCTAGGTTAGGATAGATCTAATACACATCTGCACTGGAGGTGGCTCACACACATTGTGTCAGGTGATGTGCTGGTGATGGAGTGTTCAGTCTTCACAGAGAACTATTTTTATGAAGAAAATGGAACACCTTGATGTTAAACACGGGTGCTGCTATGCATTTTAATTCTTTAACTTGAGAGAAAAACCGTGGTCCAGTTTAAGCTGCAGATTGATAGTTCTTTAGTAGCCTGTAACTACGGGCAGGTAATT